TTAAAAAAAGACTCGTTTTTCTAAACAAGTTTAAAAACTTGTTCAAGTTCAGTTCATTTAAAACACGAGTTGATGTTGAGGTAAATTTTATCTAAGTCGAACTCGAGTAGCTCAACTCGATTAACACTCTTACTCTTAAGTATCGTCTGATAACATTTTTTGTTGGAGTTTTTTTTGTGTGTGTTTTTTTAAGTACTTTTAATTTTTTGTATTTTTGGAATTTATTTATTCGAGTTATTTCTTTCTTGTGAACTTAGTCACATGTATAGTTGGATACATATGCACAAGCATGAGTATATCGTAGTAAGATCATTGAAAATTCTTTCTATTATATTGTAATTACATATGCTTTTGTTTTATGATGAAATTGTCTTTTTTTTTTTGAAAAAATTACGTGAAAAATAGTATTACCAAATAGTAACTTCATATTATGTGTGCGGGGGAGCAATATACAAAGGGAGAAAGGCAGGTTTCTAAGACCATTTCTTTCCAAAGTTATTTTACCTTCTTTTCAATGTTCTCGTGTCGTTTCATTCAGGGTATAATGGAGAAAACATACTACGGCAAACAATATCGATCAACATATCCTTAAGGATGCCAAACCGTCTTAAAAGAAAGCTACAACTTTGTCATTTGCTCAACCGTAACATCACTTCATTTGGTATTTTTTGATTCTACATTTCCAAAGTTTTTTTATGGAAAAATGTTTTTTATTTTTTGTAACAATTAAGTCCTTGTCCTCTTCAATATTCGCTGAGCTTTTACTAGACATTTTTGCATGACCAATGTTATCAATGGAACCGAGTTGATGCTCCAAAGCTATACCCCAAGTTTACAAACAGATTAGAGAAGAACAAAACAGAATAATGAGAGGAAGAAAGATAGAATTAAGTTTGGGCAGATGTTATACACAAGTGACAAACCGGCTTGTCCATAGTTTCAACTCTTTCTGATCACAATTATAATCAGTGTTAATTAATTTAATGTTGGAGTTGATAATTGTTACCAACCAATTTGCTTGGTCCTCACGTGTACAATAGATTATTAACAATAGAAATTGATATGACAGCCCAGCACTATAATAAAGCAGCTATTAAGGTTAAATGATTGATAGATTTTTTTTTTTTTTGTTTAATGGTTAGGAGGTGTTTGAGTCAGTTTACACGCATCTTTACTAATTTCCTTTCTGGTCTAATCAAAGACATATTATCCACACAAGAACTAGGATATTTATGAAGAATAAATATTTCATAGCCTTGTCCTAATGAGTTGTCAATATTCGAATTCACGATGTCTAAGTTTATAGGATTGGTAGACTCTTTGTCAATATTCGAATTCATGATATCTAAGTTTATAAGATTGGTAGACTCTTAAATTAGGGCTAATAATCCTTGACAAGACTATCTTATCTAATACAAAAATGGCACAAAGTTACTAGATATAAGTTACGTCGTAATGGGTATTTAAATCATGATTAGATTGATATATCAGACTCGCCTAATGAATTTGTCAAACTGGACCCAATTTTGTACGTCTATGCATAATTTTATATTCAATGCAAACCAACTATATACAACTATAAATGAGTCTATACATAACTAAAGCCAAAATTTATGGAACTATGACCCCATCCATTAATTTAAGTCAACATTGCTTTGGCCAAACTTGCATTTTCTCTTGTTTTCTTCTCCATTGATTAGATAATACCCTTGTGACTATAACATTGCATCTACCTGCATTCAGTCGTTTTTGTTAATGTCAAGAGGACTTAAAATCGCAAAAAAGGGGGAATACGTTATACGTTCAATCCTTCCTTATAGATAATGACCCTCACCCCAAAGCTAACTTATTGGAGGCAGCATATCAAGTGGAGTAGGTATATATATTTGTTCGATCGTATCAAATAGATTTATGCCCACATCGCCCACATCTAAAGGAGATATGAGAAAGAGAGAGAGAGATAAGTGATAATCAATTTTATTTTTTCACTTTTTCAGAGAGGCAGATCCTCAGAGTCGGGGAAGGGACATATTCACAATGCATGCAGTAACATAAGAATCATACAAAGAACATTTTAGAGAGGTGTGGGTTGGCACAAGCTGCACAACATTGATTTGTCATGAAAGGCATCATAAGCTTAACTGATTAGGGCATGCACAGTCCAAATACGTGTTTGTTTAGATTAAGCATTACTTTTAGGTTATGAGAGATTTATTTCTCATGAATTCTCTAGTTTTTGGTATAGATGGTCTGCTTCATAGTCCACTTTTTTATATTACAATATATTCGTTTGGTTGCCATATTGTAAAAGAAATGATTGTATTACATAGTACATGTTAATTTCGTATAAGCGGATAAAATACAAGATTGAATATAAGATAAATATATTATCCATTTTACTCCAGCGTTTGGTAAGACACTATGTTACAATGAAATAATAGAGTATTAATTACACCTTGACAAAAACAAAAAACAAAAAAAAAATCAATCTAGTTTAGTTGTCCATGTTTTTTGTTTATTTGGTGGATAAAATAATAAATTTATAATCTAATATGCTTGAACTGAGTTATTATAATCGATTCAATAGTACAAATAAGATGTATTATTTGACACAATGGCTGCGTGTCAGGAGGAAATTTGCTCTAGATTGTGTGGTCCTTAAAGCTAGAAACCATGTGGTCTCGTATTGTCATGTTGTTTGGCAAATTGTCCCACACACACAGAGAGATGAGAACAACTAGTCCAGCGTTTAGCCTTAAGGTTGTTGCATAATTAGGTCCCAAAATGTCCCAAAGCCCTCTCTCTTGGTAGGACCATAAACCCTAATAAATGATAAGACAACTTATTTGTCAAAGTGATAAATGTTCACAGTTCATACTTGTTCACACTCACAGTTCATACTTCCCAGAGCAAGGCCTAGTCTTTGAAATATGGGTTACTAACCATAGAAAATTAGACAGAAAGAGAAGAAAGAATTCGGCTAGTCCAACCTCGAGGGCTGAATTTTTTTGAATGTTGGCGCGTTTTATCAGTTGCATAGCGATTCTCTTTCCCGCTATTTTAGCAGTAAACGTATCCATCATTGTACATAAGAGGAATAATTCATACAATCAATTCAAGCAAAGCATTTGAGGGTGCATGAATTTTTTAATTTTCCAATAAATCGACAATGAAATATAGATTACATGACTATTGTGATCATATCAGGTTTCTTTTCTTTTTGGTTCAATGATCAAGTGTTCGGGTTAATTTACGTGTACTTCGATCATATTAAGTTTCTAAGCAATATATATATATATATATATATATATTTTTTTCCTTGGGCTTAATTGGGCTCCAAAGCTCCAATTAGATCCATGTCAGGGTGTTCCAGGCCCGATTACCAATGGCAAAATGAGAACAGGCTTTCACTATAATTTGTTTCTGTTTACAACTTTAAATGGGCCTTTCAACTTTTCCAACTCAACTGTGGGCCCAACAAAGTTAGCCCATTTGCAAACCGTCATCAAATCCCACATGACATACCCTTAAATTTACCCCTTCTACAAAGAAAATATTGAATGTGGCGGTGAGACTATGTCACAATTGTCGCATAATACTGTAATAGTTCAGCTCCTCTGCTATTAATATTTAACCACAAAGATTTTGTTGATTAAAACTGCATAATTTTGATCCAAAATGACATTGATTCTATTTAACAAAACGATGTCGTTTGGAACAAAATGATGTTGTTTTATTCAACAATACATATATTATTAAAAAATTAACAGCAGAAGATCCTCTGTCTACCACGTAATATGACTTACCAATAATTTACTCTATTTCCACAAGCCAACCATAGCAAACATGAGTTATATGGGCCCCATCTTATTTTTATCTAATAATATCCCCTTTAACCCCACAATTCAAACAACCTCATTGGGAATTGGAATAAGGGTAAGGCAGAAGTGAAAAAGGCAAGCAATAGCACCAAAACAAAAGAGGCGGCGAGCCACTCCAAAGCGGCCAATAAGATAATAGACTGCCGGAGGAAAGATAAGGAATGGCATGTCCAATATAGGCCCAAACTGTCAATATTGAGCTAAGTTAATCGTACTTGGGCTGGTTATTTAAAGCCCATGCTTGAACTGCGACAACCTTTTTTGGAAAAATTATATTTTAACCCCCTAATTATGAACTCAATTTCATTTTACCCTTTAAATTATTAAAATTTTCATATCATCCCCTACTTGAATTTTTTCAAGCATCGGTTTTATTTTGAACGGAAATTACCAATTGGGACAATGTGATAATTGGGGTGATTTGAAACTAATCTCATAATTGAAGGTATAATATAAAAAATATGATACTCAAGGGGCTAGATAAGTAAAATCATAGTTGAGAAGGTCAAATTATAGGGGTGTAACTTCGGGTGGGCAACCCGATTTCAACTCAAGTCCAACCCAAAAAAATTAGGGTTTGAGCAATAGTTTTTAATACTTGGGTTAGACATGAGTCAAAAAACTCTAACCCGAATTTAATTTGGGTTAGACTCGGGTTAAGGCCTCGAGTTTACGGATTCAACCCGAACCCGATAAATTAAAAAAAAAATTTATATATATATATATATATATATATATATACACTAACACTGATTTTTTATTTTTGTTCTATCGTTCTTTGTCTCTCTCGTTCATTTTCATTTTTGTTTTAGTAATAGAACTATTAAAAACTTGGTTGAAGTTATTGGTTGTTAATTTATGTGAATATTATATAATATATGTATTAGGTTTAAAATAACAAATCTATTTTGAGTTCTATCCAAACTTAAACCGAATTGAATTCGTAAAATAATTTGAAATTAACCCAAAATCATTAACCCAAGTTTGTCCGAATTAAACTCGGACAATACTCGAGTTGAGTTTCTCGACTTGAAATAGGACTAGAGTTAAAAATTATATACTTAAGATTGACTTTCCAACCGGGCCGAGTTGCACCCTGTCAGATTATAATTAAACCCCCTTTCTTTGTCTTCTCCAAAAGACCCTACAAAACCCTAATTGTGTCCGTCCGTAAAGACCTTCATTGCCCACTGGTAGCGCCGCTCGCCAATCCCCTCTTCTGTGCTCTTATCTTCCGCCCTTCTCTCTCTCTCCCCGTCTTTCTCCTCCTTGCCAGCGACGCCACCAGGTATCTCCCGCTCTCTGTCTTCCCCCAACCACACGCACAGAGCACACACCGAACTGGGCACACACCCACAGAAACAGAGCAGACGCATAATCATCTGGGTGAACCTGTCTCTATTTTGTTTGAATTCAACCTGTCTATGTTTTTTTGCTATCCGATAATCACCTGGGTGATATTTAAACCAATCAAAGTTAATTTTCAGTAGCTGGTTTAGTGTATGTTTCGTTGTTCAATTGATTAGTCAATGTCACAGTATATATGCTGATTGTAATTGCTGGTTCTAATTATTCTGGTTCTTAACTTCTTATTATAAAAATTTATTGTAATTTAAGTATCCTTAGGCTTCTTTGCTTGTGTCTTACAATTTTTATAACTTGGTAGAAAAAAAAAATTATATAAGAAAAAAACATTTATTTGTAATTTATGATTTGTGCTTCACTTTGATAAAGCATGGGCTTCGCTTTGCGAATTGCGCTTAGGCCCTGGAAGATATTATCACTTCGGTTGCACCTTATGCCTTAAATAATGCTGGGAGAGATGATTCATGATTTGAATTGTTGGAAAATTGCTGTTTTTTTGTTTTTTTTTGGAATGTCATATTGGCCAAACGAGGATAAGAGGGTGTTTTTCAATAATCATGCAGGCCCCAAGTCAGTTCAGTTGTAATAAATTATAGAAAATTTGGTTGTTTTGAGTATGTTTGTTGGCTATGCTTTTATTTATTGAAACCTCATGTTTGCCTCCTTTTTAGACTTGTATTTTCAGTCATTAGTTTTTCTATTTTGTGTTGTAGAGGAAAACACGATTCCTAAGTCATGGTGCAGTACAACTTTAAGAAGATTACTGTTGTCCCCACTGGGACGGACTTTATTGATATTATCCTTTCACGCACCCAACGTCAAACCCCGACTGTGGTTCACAAAGGTTATGCTATCTCTCGCATCCGACAGTTTTACATGCGCAAAGTGAAGTATACACAGCAAAACTTTCATGACAAGCTTTCCACCATCATTGATGAGTTCCCTCGGCTTGATGGTATTCACCCTTTCTATGGTGACCTCCTTCATGTTCTATACAACAAAGACCACTACAAGCTTGCCCTTGGCCAAATCAATACTGCAAGGAATCTCATTGGTAAAGTAGCAAAGGATTATGTGAAACTCTTAAAGTATGGTGACTCATTGTATCGGTGCAAGGCTTTGAAGGTCGCTGCTCTTGGCCGCATGTGTACTGTGATGAAGCGCATTGCCCCTAGTTTGGCTTATCTTGAACAGATCAGGCAACACATGGCAAGGCTACCTTCAATTGACCCAAACACCCGAACGATCTTGATTTGTGGGTACCCAAATGTTGGCAAGAGCTCATTCATTAACAAAATCACCAGGGCAGACGTGGATGTTCAGCCCTATGCTTTCACCACAAAGTCCCTGTTTGTTGGACATACAGATTACAAGTACCTAAGGTATCAAGTTATTGATACTCCGGGGATTCTGGATAGGCCATTTGAAGATCGTAACATCATTGAAATGTGCAGTATCACAGCTCTGGCACATCTAAGAGCTGCTGTGCTGTTCTTCCTGGACATTTCAGGATCATGTGGGTACAGCATCGCCCAGCAGGCCGCTCTCTTTCACAGCATTAAGTCACTGTTCATGAATAAACCACTTGTCATAGTCTGCAACAAAACTGATCTGCAGCCGTTGGAAGGGATATCCGAGGAAGACATGAAGCTGGTTATGGAGATGAAAGCAGAAGCTATGAAGACTGTAATAGGCCAAGGGGGTGAGCCTACAAGTGAGGAGGGTGTACTTTTGACTATGAGCACTTTGACTGAGGAGGGTGTAAGCGCTGTAAAGAATGCAGCTTGTGAGAGGCTATTGGATCAGAGGGTGGAATTGAAAATGAAGTCTAAAAAGATAAATGACTGCCTGAATCGATTTCATGTCGCAATGCCAAAGCCACGTGACCAGAAAGAAAGGCTGCCATGCATACCTCAGGCGGTCTTGGAAGCTAGAGCTAAGAAAGCTGAGGAAGCTGCAGAGAAGGAGAAGAGGAAGCTTGAAAGGGATTTAGAGAATGAGAATGGAGGTGCAGGTGTATACTCTGCTGATCTGAAGAAGTCTTATATCTTAGCAAATGATGAATGGAAACAAGATATAATGCCAGAAATTCTTGATGGGCACAATGTATATGACTTCATTGACCCTGATATATTACAAAGGCTTGAGGAGTTGGAGCAAGACGAAGGTCTTCGGCAGGAGCAGGGGGCTGATGATGATCTTGAGATGGATGGAGAGGAAATGACCCCAGAAGAGCAAGAAGCGCTGGCTGAGATTAGGAAAAAGAAAAGCTTGCTTATTCAACAGCATAGGATCAAGAAGAGCACTGCGGAGAGCCGACCAACTGTACCTCGCAAGTTTGACAAAGACAGGAAGTTCACATCTAAGAGAATGGGAAGGCAGCTCTCAGATTTGGGACTTGATCCAACTTTTGCAATTAATCGAGCCCGTAGCATTTCTAGGGGTCGTAAGAGGGAGAGGTCCCTTGACCGGACCGACGATGGTGCTGATGCCATGGACGTGGATGCTGCCCAACCAAACAAGAAGCTGCGGATGAGGTCACTATCCCGATCAAGGTCGAGGTCACGTCCACCAAGTGAGGTGGTTCCAGGAGAGGGCTTCAGGGATTCTGCTCAAAAGGTGAAGGCTCTCAAAATAGCTAAGAAATCTGTGAAGAAGAGGAATAAAGATGCTCGAAGGGGAGAGGCAGATAGAGTCATTCCTTCTCTTAAACCAAAGCACCTATTCTCTGGCAAACGTTCCATTGGGAAGACTCAGAGACGGTAGTAGAAAAGGTACATCTACTCCTATATTTTAGATTTATCTCACTTTTTGCTTTCTGTTTTTACTCAGTTTCATTATCTGCTTGATTTTTGTGTTTAGTTATTTGCTCTCTCCTCTTTCAAAAGACCTAAAAGGACAATAGAAAGCCTTATAACGAGAGTTTAAAGACCTTAAGCTATCCCCGCCCTTAAGACAGGCTACTCGAAGAAGCAAGACTCAAGACTCATAAGGACAGGCATAAAGGAAGAAAATAGAAGAAAAAGAGCTTCTGCTTAACCTTAACTTTGATAAAACATTTTTTTTCCAAGTACTCAGATGTGTCTATCCTATTCCTAGGGCGAAGGGTATGGGATCATAGCTTGCTAGGTTTGAATTTAGGTCTTTTTTACACTGCATAGACACCTGGCCCTTTGGCAAGTTTTGAAACTTAGATCTCCCAGTTGGGGGAGGGCTTCTCCTGACCATCCAGACTTTACTAGTGATGGTTCCAAAAGATATTTTTTCAGTCAATATCTGTTGTATTTTGGATCATTAAGAGAAAATTCTCCATTTTGAACAATGCATTATTGCATTATCCACTTCATATTGTGTGTACAATTTTGACAAAACATGATTGCAGCTATCTGGTAGATGTGTCAATTCAACCTATAAGTGATTATGTACGATGGTAATGGTAGTTATCTTTCAGTAGGGTGAACAACGCCTGTTAATACTTAAAACATTTTGGAAAGAAATTGATCTTCCAGTTTAGGTCTCACCCTGAGAAGAATTGTTTCTAATTGTCTATACTTTTATGGTCTGAAATTCACTCTTTTTAAATTGAGTAATGCCACTGGGAGTTCTAATCATGTTCTCCATCACCATTTTTCTAGTTTTAGTCACTGGTCACTTCTTGCAGGAAGGATGATGGATATTAAGGCTTACAAGGTAAAGAAACTGGAGCGTACCTTGCTTGTGGGAGCTTGCGAGACTGGCTCTTAGCAACTCCTATATTCGAACCAAGATGTTGGTCTATACATTCCTCTTAGTCTCTACTCTAGGGATATCTTTTTTTGCGTAAGTTTTAGGAATTTTAAAGTAATATTTATGGAGATTGCGACGGTGATAACAAATGAACCCTTTGTTGTGTTTCTGTTAATGCGGTTTTGAAAATTATCTGCTTTTCGTGTTAAAGAGAGAATCTGTCGGTGGGTTGACGTTTTTTTTTCCAATATATTTGGGTGTTGCTCTTCATTTTTGCAGTGGGGATGCTTCTTAATTTTGTAATTTGTGGTGGTGGTGGTGGTGGTGGTGGAGTAATATTTTCTATTTTTGATGTTAGTTACGTTTTTTCCCTAAATTCAAGAGTGGTACATCCGCAGAAACTGCTAACGGTGGCGTTATGTCAGCACTAAACGGATAAAATGAAATCTACATTAGGATTTTATTAGGGGTACTTATTATATGAAAAGTATTTATAAAATTTATGTGAAATTTATTTTTTTATTTATTATTTTTTTATTAGATGATAGTATCAGGTGCTTATGACTACTTGATGTCACTGAATATTTTCTTAGAAACAATAGATCGACAATTTATTTCTTAAGTATGCCTTTTATAGGAACATTTTGCGGACAAAAGTAGACATATAACTTATTCGAAATTTACATTATTTGAAGTTGATAGGATTGAGATAATGTGTGGTGTGTTTATACATAATTTATTTTTTTGTTTTGATTCAACGGGGTGTTTGAATTAATTTATGCGTATTTTGATTAATTTTCTTTTCAGTTCGGTCAAAGGTAAGCTATAATTTTTCATGGTTTGGCGTCTAGTGATTATTAAAATTCGAAATTAAAATATCTAAATTTATATTTTATTTTTATTGCCATTTTAGTTACAATAGGGTATTCAATAAAAGGGGATGTGAGTTGTTGAATGACATTTTATGGTCAAATTAATTCTTCGACTTGGTCAGTGTAGGAATTTGTCAACAGCAAAACTTGAACTCCAAACCTTTTGGGGTTTGTTTGGATGAATTTTGGGAGGAGTTTGGATTTTCTTTTCTAAATTCAAATTTTATTTATAAAGATGAGATTCAATATTCAATTTGATCCATATCTATATTGGGTATTCAACACATATACATTGGAACTTGTTTGGATGAATTTTGGGGAAGAGTTTGGATTGACTTCTCTAAATTCAAATTTTTATTTACAAAGATGAGATTCATCATTCAATTTGATCTATATCTATATTGGATATACAACACATATACATATAGGATTCACAGTTATATCATAATTATTTAATTATTTATTCTATAAATAATTATTTTATCCTTGATCAATTTAATTCATGTATATGTTAAAGGGTACAATTATCTTTTAGATACTTAAACTTTTACCCATCTTTTCAAACCCACCTCTTTAGGTATAACAAAACTTATGATCATGAGTTTAATTTTTGGGCCAGTTAGGGGTTAGGTTTAAAAACTCGGGACTGAATTTTCATACAAACATAGAATTTGGGGGTCCTTTAAATTATTTTTCTCAAACTTATCTTGCTAAGTCCCCTCATTCTCTTTACCAAGCAGCCCCTTGACACGTGAGGGTTGGCCCAACATTTGATTTGCGGGACTTGAGGTGTGACTGTGCTTCAGAGTGGGCCTGATTAAGGCCCATTAAAACAGCCCGGTCTGATAACAACCCTCAGCCTTCCAAAACACTTGTAATGGTGCATGAGCCTTCGCTTATTTGGCCCAAAAAGATGTTATCATTTCCCTCCCATCTCACGTGTCTGAAGTGGAGCCCAAAACCGATATACGTGGACAATCAATCCTCTACTCTTGGATCAGCCGCAATAAATTAATCCCAGCCGTCTGAGTGCACCTCCCAACCCCAAATTTACAACCCATTAGTTCTCATCGAACGGTAAATCTGAGCAGGTCCGACCGGTGGGTCCCTCAAAACTCTTGCTACTCCATTTTCTCTGTAAGAACCGACTTGGAGCTCAAGAAAAGACCGAGAAAGTCATCGAAATTCGAGAGAGAGAGAGAGAACAAATGATGATTTTCGGGAAGGGTTTACGAAACCCGACGTTCTTCAGAACAGGTTCTAAATCTAGGCCGTTGATTTCTTCATGTTTTTCGTCATCGCCGGTGTCCGGAACCGACGTTGTGGCTTCCGGTGCTGCTGCTGATGTCGCTGAAGGGGATATTCTGTTGGAGGAAGCACTGCATTCTGCTGCAACCGTCAAGCCGGTGATGGAGCCCACTCTTCTTCAACCGCGTGTCGTCGTTTACGATGGCGTCTGTCATCTCTGCCACAAAGGTGTTTTCATTACACGCATACAAAATTTTTGGTTATGAATTATGATTGTTCAATGAGGGAAGTAACACTATTTGTATCTGCATTCTTGAGAATAGTTTGGAGTGCACTTGTATTCTTTTAATTTGAATTAGCGATTTGAGGTTTCAGGGTTTTGAGTATGTAATGATGTAAATGTGGATGGACATTATAATGATCGACACATGTTTCAGCTATATTATTGATGAATTTGAATGACAACCAGTAAAATTTCTTGAACCTAATATATCCTGTGAAAGTAGAATTTAGGCAAAAGGAAGCCAAATTTTCACGATTCTTGAGTAATTGAAAGTGGATTTTGGCTTTTTTTTTTTAACAATATTTTATTTGTTTTGGTAGGGGTGAAATGGGTGATTGAAGCAGACAAAGATAGGAAAATAAAGTTCTGTTGCCTTCAGTCTAAAGCTGCTGAACCTTACATGAGAGTGTCCGGAGTCGAGCGGGAGGATGTTCTTCGTCGTTTCTTGTTCATTGAAGGCCATGGTTTATACCACCAAGGCTCCACGGGTCAGAACTCTCTCTCTATCCCCCCCCCCCCCCCAAAAAAAAAAAAAAAACGCGGGAAGCCTTTCGTTTCAATCTTATTTTGGCTTTCTGTAACTTCAATATTTATTAAGAAAAAAAAATAGGTGTTTTGATCTTGGTATATTTGGATGCAATGACTGAATCATTTGATCGAGAACCAAATTCATTGCAATTCTGGTGTGCCGTAGAATCAAGCTTCTTCAGACCAATTGAGAAAAATAATAAATGAAATCAAATAATTTATAAGTGTCAAAATTTGATCAGCTGACAGTGGTTTGATAAAATATCTTCAAAAAATGTTAGTTCTTACTAACAACAATGCTGACTTTGGATAGCATGTTATGTTGATAACGATGTTAGTGTAGAACTATGTAAACAAGATTATGGAGGCAATGCCATTTCTAGACATTGATCTTGCTGCCCGTCTAATAGTGGAAGATATTGAGCCAATGAATCCCTTATGTCCTAGTCTTTGATCGTATTGAACTCCCAAAGAAACCCTGAAATTGCAATATCGTTTCTGGAACATTGAATTTCATCCCTCTAGTACTAAAGAAGAACAATTTACAAAAAATTTGATGTTTCTACAGTCTAGGTGGTAATGGACTGTTATATAATCTGGGTGGACAAAGTCACTGAACAAAGTACTATGCATATCACAACACCAGTTTTAGTGGATAAATGAACTTCAGGACCAGAGCAGAGATTATGATATTGGCTCATTCAACATTTGTAAATTAACGTGAGTACAAGGCAAAGCTTGGTTGATGATTGTCTTTTCTCTCTGATTTCAATTTTGTCTTGCTTTTCTCCTTGTTTGATGTTGCTATTGCAATCATGAAATTATTGGCCAGTTCCATTTTCAAAAACACGCTATCAGCAAGGTGGATCACTTCTGCTGTCAACTATTAATAATTAAATTGGGTGTACCTTCTAATCGTTTCACATAAGCTGATGTGATTTCACCAAAGCTTCTTGAAACGGTCCATTTGTGATAGCTAGTAACTTCCTTTCCTGTGGTAGACAAGGGATGTTCACTACTCTAATTAGTAAACTTTTGCAGTCCCCATTCTCTTTCTTAGCTATGGATGGTGGGTGTGATCATACCAGCACTAATTAGGGGTGGTAATTTTTGATACGACACAATAACCCGATACGAAACACGATACGAATAAATGGGTTTGGGTTAATTAATTTTTTGACACGACCTGCGTATTACACAACCCGCCAACACGAAGTGTTAATGGGTTGTGTTCGGATTCAACCCGTTTAACACGAATTGACCCGTCAACACGAAGTTTTTAATTCAAAAGAGATTGACTTGGCCTTTTTGTTGCATGTATGAGTTTTCATGTTTTGATGACTTGTTTTTTTCATTACTTCTGAAGTTTAATTTGGTTGTATGATGTACAATTAACATATTTAATTAATATTATATAAATTAATTATTTGTAACTGTTTATCAAGTGTTGACTTAATTATTGTATAAAAAAGATACTATTACTCATTATTGTTGTTATTATTATTATTAAGTTAATTTTTAGTTTGTAGAAAAAATACGAGGAGAGATTCAATTAAGTGAAAATAAAATCTTAGCGTTAAATTTTTTATTCAAAGTTTATGTAGGTTAACACGAATATGAACACAAACACGACACGAAAATAAACAGGTCAACTCGACACGACACGAATAGTTAAATGGGTTGACTAATGTTCGACACGACTAATATTCGACCCGACACAACACGACTCGATTGCCACCCCTAGCACTAATGCACTGGATCCCATCAGAACTCCGCAGTTAAGCGTGCTTAGGCAAGAGTAGTACTAGGATGAGTGACCCCTTGAGAAGTCCTCGTGTTGCGCCCTTTTTATAAAAAAAAAATAGTTATGGATGGTTATTCTGAAGTTTAATTTTAAACAAAACTATACACTAGATTTGAACATTAAAGCCTTGTAAGGTCAACAAGTATGTTGACAGTAAAACATCCTCCCTCTCTTTCTCTGTCCCCGCCCCCCCCCAAAAAAAATAAATAAATAAATAAAAGTAATGTGGATTTATGTAATTCATCTGATTTTTAATCTGTTTCTGCAGCTGCACTGAGAGTATTGTCTTACTTGCCATTGCCTTACTCTGCGTTAAGCACTCTTATGATTGTTCCAACACCTCTAAGGGATGCTGTCTATGATTATGTTGCCAAGCACCGCTATGACTGGTTTGGAAAGGGGGATGATTGCTTAGTTCTGAAAGAAAAAGAGCTACTTGAGCGCTTCATAGACTGGGAAGAACTGATAGATAAGGATTGACCAGGTTTGTGATTAGCTCCCTCGGTTGGACGAGCCACTTATTTGATGTTCTTTTTTATTATAGATGCCATGGCTAACATATCTTAGTAGGATATTCATTTGCGAAGTTGTAATGCACAGTTTTGTTGAGCGGGGTTTTCTCTATCCATTCTTAGTAGGATATTCATATGTGAAGTTGTGGTGCTGACGCACAGTAGGTTGAGCGGGTTTCTCTAGACTCGGAAATTGGATAGTAGGAAAAGATACTAGATATTTCAGCATTGTGATCGTTATCTTGCCCACTTCTTATTGCACAGAATGTAAAGAGTTATTTTGAAGAAGAGCAAGCAAATCTCGACTCTGCATTTTTGCACAGCATAGTTTGTTTATCAAGTTGGTTGTACAGAGTGCATGGTTAAGCATTGTACTGTACATGTGCAATGCATTTGCAACATGCAAGAAAGAACCTTATGCAATAGAAATAATTTCCCGAATGTTGTTTTTGTCATTGTCAGCTGCAGGAGAAGCAAGATTACATTTCCACATGTTTTCATCCCCAAAATGATGAAAGCACCAGAAGAATTCACCTTAATTGATTGTGGTAGATCTATAATTCTTGTGAAAGTGATCAGTAATTTCTTATTAATTTATTGCTCTTAAGATTTGGATTGATTTTGCATCAGCTCATTCCTGAAGGGTTATCCCATTTTTAGTAGCTTACATAATGGCACCATTAAGGATGAATTCGTCCATGAAGGTAACGACTAAAACTTCGAAGAAAGGAAGATGAAAACAAGTCAATAGCATTTCTCTGATGATAGCTTTGCGTGTGTCACTGCTGAAATCTATTAGAAACAGTGAGCTAAATATTCTCACAATACAATTCAGTGCAAAATTTACTCTTAAAAGTTACTTTTACAATAAAACCTGCCAAGGTTTTCAACTCCTAACATCAATCTCTTTCATTTTGACACAAACATTAATACTGCTGGACTAGCTCAATCCAATCGACATGCATCAGAACTTTGCAAAACAATAACCAAATCATAATAAATTATTATGACACCGAATTGCTTATCTATTGAATGCTGCCATTGCTAGTCCATTCTTTCCAGTCCTTGTCAACATGAGCTTGGGCCCATTTCACAGCTGCACGTGCAGCTTGGGGTCCTCCAGGCAACTCCTGCTCATTCAGTGTATCAGCCATGTCGATGAAAGGTATGACCAAAAGTGTTCCAGGGCCCCCATACTCGGTGTGTAAGAAAGTACTGAAAATCTATTCAAAATTTCATAACATGAAGATAATTCAGCATCTACATGCAGAAAGCATTTTTAAGGGACATAAATAGACTGAATGAAGACATTGTAACCCAATTAAATCATTATAATACAGACATAGGATTAAAGAAATATACCATGGTTATATAAAAATTTCAGTATAAGGAGCTTTGTATGAACAATTACAAGGGAACTGACAATGAGAAGAATTCAAATACTGCAAACTGAAACAAACTTCTATGTGACCGTCTCAGAGGAAGTTCACTAATTGCATTATTTCGTACATTTTTAAGGCTCTTTTCTTAGTCCTACTTCTGGGCAACAAAGATCATCTATGTTACAATACCAAATATTCCAAATTTGATTTTTGTCCAGGGAAAAAGAGCAGGTGAAGCCTTTTCACTTCCTGTAATTAGTTTAAACAGCAGAGACATCCTGCACATGTTTGCTTGTTTAATATCTTGTCTTTCTTTTCTCCTATGCAGATACAAACCAACATCCCCTGCCTTTACAGTGCATTTCTTTTAAAATTGTTTTTTTTAGTGAAAACCTTTAGTGTACAAGCTCCAACAAGTGTGAAAAAAAATTAAAGAGAAAAAATGAGTTACAAGCCAATTGCAACATATCTCATGACTTGCATCTCTTTCTCTAAATAAATGAGGACGATGAGATTTTTTCACATATAGTATAGTGTTTCTAAGTAACTTCAGGAGAAATGAATTATTCTAAAATATGATGAGTGGACCACCAACAGTATCCAATAGCCTTTTGCTGTTTTAAAAGAACATCTGATAATGCAAGGGTCAGATTCTAAACCTGCCACGTATTTTTTTTTCTCTTCAGGGTGGGGTAGGGGGATAGTGGAACATTGGGTCTCCTAGGTGGGACTCAAATCCGCATCAAGCAGTCATGTTGGATCACCCCCCACGGGTGCTCTTCTTTTTCAGCCTAGAAGATACTAGGTCTAATAGGTTGGTTGCTGATATGTTTTGTCACATTTGTGAGCTTTATAGGTTCTGATGTCCATGTCCACAATGTTATGGTTCATCAAGTCGCCCCAGAGAGAGGCAGAAGATTGTGGTATGCAAAGGAGGAGAGGAGTCAGAGAAGATGGGGGCTCCCAAGCAGCCTATTGTGCTGACCTTCAGGGTGGAACTTGCTATCCCAGGCCCAATATTGCTTCATCTGTGTAATCCTATTTAGGTTGCTTCAATTCTTACCTGATCCATTCTCTATCTATCATAGTCACCATTACTCTGCAGTACAAACCAATCCCTCTTAACTATACAGGCATATTCATCCAGTAGCATGGTTAAATGCAACTTTGCAAGCATTTTCTTCCATCACTGGAAGAACCTTTTACAAGTCAATTCCTTCTCTATGTCTATAATCACCACCTGGTAGCTTCAGTGGTATTTCTTGCCACCACCAAGGGGAAGCTCCATTGTTCGGCTCCTGTTTGGTATGCAGGTGTGTATGTATAACTATCAAGAAAAAATTAAAAGGGTCTTTTATCAATGGTTGTCAAAACTTAAGGGAACCTAACCAATGTTGCAGCTACTCCCTGCCAATCACCCTGAGCCACGTCATACATATTCCCTTATTTTCACAACCAAATCAAACCAAGCAAAGTAATGTCTCAATTATTTGGGATCGACTACATGAATCATTTTTATCCATTCTGCAGCTATTATATTCGCTAAATAATAAGAGTTCCAGAAGGAAAACAACACAGTTTGGATGTGGGAAAGGTCCCATAAAGTACACTTCAAAAAAAGAAAAGCAAAAGCGAGAGATTGTACATAAAGCCTCTGGTTGATAAAATGTGAAGAACAGCATTTTATCGCTTCCGGTTGCTTAATGAAGAAAAACATAATCTGAGGGACAATAAGATAGAATTTTCAATTTGATGTATAATTTCCTTTCCTCCTAGTTAAATAGAAATAGAAATGGAATTCCTCATATTTAGAGGTTTATTGCACAGCACAGTATTGTTAAGAGACATCATATCAATAGTGATTGATAATTATTAACAGTAATTCTTTTACTACTACAATATAATTTGATGACCAGTGAAAATAGATTGTTACTACCAGCCTACCAGGCCCTTGAGAATTATGACATTCAGAGTTCTATTTCCTATGAAGGATTTCACATCAAACACGTATAATCACACTTTTTGAGGATTTACCACTTAAGGTTTCAACGCTATTTTAACCCAATATAGCCTTTTAACATTGACTAACCACCATAACTTCGTAACGGATGTCGCATTCTCAAATTTGATATATATTTTAATTGCAGAATTTCATTCTCTATGCACTCACTGATTATAATGTTCCATCTTCTAAAACTACAGTCAATAAACATTAAGAGGAAAGAAAGGAAAGCAATCAGAGGGTCTTCTCTCTGTTTAATCAATTACAATCAAACCAACATAATCGAGAAATTTGAACTGAAAAAAAGAAATTTCATAATAGCAATAAAAGAATGTAGCAGAACAAAGAACATATAACAAGGGAGAAGTGAAAATACCTCGGTACAGACTCCAACAACCTCCTCAATTGAATCTCCATAATAATCTTTCTTAGAGAGTTTCTTAAGGAGATTGGTCCTAAACTTTTTCGTTTCCTGAACCCCCAATGTTGAATACCAAACATAAAAAAGGTGTTCAAGTATCGAACTAAGTAAAAATATGTGTAAGTATGTAATGGGTACTCACAGCTTCAGCGAACTCGGGAATTGGGTCTGGAAATTTGTACTCAGCAGCTCTGCAAATGAACTTTCGACCTGTGTTGCTTCTTAGTAAAGGGTGTACATAGAAACTTTTGGATTTGATACCATTAATGATGTGAGTACGAGTACTATATTTATGTGAAGAAGAAGGTGAAACCAAATAAAATGAAGAAGTAGCAGAGACAAGAACAGATGAAAGAGAAGGACGCGAGGGTGAGAAAGAAGAAGTTGAAAAGAGTGTTTTGGGGAAAACAGAGACAGTCGAAGCCATTTCTATCTCCACCCACCTCGGTTATTCAGCTTGCGCAAATACTAACTCGGCTAAAAGGGTTAGAAACGAAATTGAACTTTACAAGTTTGCCCTCCAGAATTTTTATAAACGCCCCTTGAATCGTAAAAAAAAAGGGCACTAATCTCACTTTGAACCCCTGAAAAATATTTTAATTTTTAATTTATACCCTCAAATATTAAAAATATTAATTTATATCCTTAATGTTATAAATTGATCGTCCATGATCAATTTAATCCTGTTTTGTTTATCAAAAATAAGATTTTATTAATTAGATAATAGTCAACCTTACCATATGTAACTCATATGAGACACCAATAGTTTACAAATTTATACAAAAGCCTCAGGCCCAAAGTACTTGCAATTCGTGTTCTGCAATTTTTGAACGACAATTTTGGGTGAGGTCTATATTATTATAAATTTATAATATTGAAGGTGGAAATTAATTTTTTTTAATATTTGATAGTGTAAATTAAGAATTGAAGCATTTTTCAGGGTGCAAAGTAAGATTAACCCTAAAAAAAATTCTTATTTTCTTGGCAATTTTAAATTTAAATTCATCCGGTTCCTTAATCGCTAGGAATGGAATGCAGAAGGCAGGCTAATGAATCGACTTAAGTCGTTACAAGGTAAACATATTAAAAGTTGCGACTGAATCACCTCTTTTTTAGTTAGAACTAAAGTTTATTGTCTATTTTAATTTGACACAACTTCACACCCAAAAATTAAAAAAAAAAAGAGTTATGCGTGAGTAAAACTTAGACATGGAAGTCTTATTTCATTTCTTGATGGTGAAATAAGACCAAACTCATGAGCTTATTAGCGTAGATTGAAACTAACCCCGATTTTCCCAGATAATAAATTGGATTACCCCTCATAAATTCAAAGAAAATCCCCTTTATCTATTAAGTAGAACTTCACCAATATATGAAATACGATCTATTATTGAGAAAAATACAATATAATGTTCATTATTAAAGACGACCATGATCCTGCTATTTTATATCTGATTTTCCAACGTAGTGAAAAATAAAATGAATTGAATTAAGGTAAAATTACGAAAGCTCTGGCACCCAAAGTTTGAACTCTCAATCTGTGATTGGGGCTTAATTCCTGTGTTTTCCTTTGATATTGCCCTCTCCAAGTTATGGTTTTGCACCGGGTATATTCTTTGCTGTGAAAGATTGGAATTATTTGGACTTCAAATTGATTTGCCCTCAGTCGAGAACCGGCAGCAGCTGGGGGGTGGGGGGACGTGCACTCTTGTATGACTAAGCACAGGGACCAGACTGGGAGTGTGTGCGTGTGTGGCAGAGCATGCGCGCAAGCACAATGGTGTGCTATGAACTAAAGCCAAAACAAGGGAGGTTGTTTGATATATAACATTACAACAGTTTAGTCGCCCCTCCCAGAAGTACAGAGCTATGTACAGCATCTACGAGCAAAACACGAGCTATGCACATCTCACTCACAGATTCCTTTCATGGGGTTCAAGCCAAGGAAATCCAAGGAAATCAAACACCTCTTTCTCTGTCTCAAATTTCAAACTCGCGCTGCCTCTAGTTCCCTGCATGATATAGTAATTTTATGCATAACTTACAAAATATGAAAGCTAGGTAAATAGAAAGAAAAACTAACAAACAAGTTGACTAACTCCTTACCCTTTTACAGCTTGAGGTCTTCTGCGTAGCAGGAAACAGTCCTGTATCATCAAGTCGGAACCCCTTGGATTCTGCTAATAACCTCAGCCTGCACCCACAATGCAAATGGGCTAAATCATGGACGTGTTTACTAATTAGAAAGCCATAAAAATTTGAATTATCCTTAAAGAAACCAAAATAACAAGAATATAATAAAAACAACAAAAAGGATAAAATAAAATATTGGATACATTTGAATGTACATCAATAATGCCTAGTGAAGAAGAATCATGTAATCACCATTGATGGTAGTGCCAGAGATAATAATAGACCTAAATTGCAAATTAAAGTGTAATAGCTTGTCATCCAAAACAAAGCTCCTAAAAGAGCTGCTGAATGGGAAATCAAGATTCATGTAGCAACCCGAGGATATAGGATAGGCTTTGCTAAACGTCGAGTAATCAAAGACACAATACGATAATGAGATAAACACATATAGCGCCTACCAACTATTAGGATTAAATAGAAATCCAACAATCCTCTATTAACAACAAAAAAAAGAAGCTATTTTTCCTCCCCCTCAAAATGGAGAGGTCAGTTCCTAATATAAATAGAAAGGTTTTCCTGCCCCATTATCAGGATATAGATTTGACAACGTATGCCAAGGACCCAGTCTTTTAGGACATCATTCAACAGCATAAAGAGTTCTTTTTTCCTCCTCTTAAAAATGTATCACTCATAACCACCTCACTACCCAGATGAGCTGTTGTTTTGCATGACTACAGAGAGTGATTCCAAAGTACTGACACTAGATCAAAAGAAAGAGCAATCAACTACATGCTTAACTCATGCCCCAAGGATCCCTAGATACGGGGTAATCCACGTTAATATGCAAATATCCTTAGTCCATATGTTAGGCCGGTTAATTCCTATAACTTGCTAAGTTGTATAATACAAAGAAAGTTATCTTTTACTTTCAGTTATAACATGCAAACAATGCTCGAAAAGTCAGTTGTAAGATATGTGAATGTATTAGCATACCTTCTGTTCAATACATCATTCCCTGTCCATGCTATTAGTCCAAATGCATATATATCCCTTGGATAAACCTATGGGGGAAAAAAAAAGAATTTAGTAGCAACTCTCGATGTTTGATCTGAACCTGCATAGGGTTAGAGGTGGTTTATCAAGGAAAATTACAAGAAGTAAATAACTGAACTGCAATAGGTTAAGAAAACAGGAGTGTTTCCATCAGATGGCTAGGGCGAACTAGGAGGGAAAAGAAAAAGTTCTTAATAACTTTTTGACCATTACAGGTTATGTGTCTGTTCAATGAAGTAGCTTGATGGTTATAAAGTCGTCCTGTATTGAATGGGGCATATTTAGGTTTTCAGTTACATTACATCAGGGGATCACAGAACTAAATTCCCACCCATATTCATAAATCGCAACCATGTGAGCATAATCAAGGCAATAGCTTTAATCCTTAACTCCTAAGCTGATTTGATTGACCATATATCAAAATGCTTTTTTCCAACCTAAAAAAAATCCAACATACCTGTTGCATATTGACTATACATTTTCTCAAGTTCCAACTTGTTCCATCTCAGCTCCATGAGGTCTTACAGGATTTCCTCAATCCAATGCTTAAAATGAACTTGGCTCAAAGGACTACTGAAATATCTATTTTCATGCTAAATGTTAAACAGACAATGTTATTACAATTTACAGGATGCAATGTAAGGATTTAGCAATTTTGAACAGAGTATGCTCAACTAGTATGTAGTTTCCTCAGCCTGAATTATAGCATCCGAGAAAAGGATATGAAAACAAGTTCCAAATAATTTCTGAAGAATCAACTGATCATTTCTATTTTTGTCGCAGAAATTATTGGGGCCATTAGCAATTTACAGCATTCAACCAAAAAGAATCTCCAACCCCCCATTTTTTGGAATATTCGTTTTTCTTGATCAACCATGAACACGCCAAAAATGTTGAACAGTGCCTCAAACCATACTTCTTGTGGAATTAGAATCAATGACAAATTATAGAGCTTAAAATATAAAGCAACAGGATACCTTTAAATCAATGCGATGCCGCAACTCTTGACCAGGGTATGTGCATAGACCAAAGTATGTGTCAACCCCTGAATCAGTGCTCTGTGGCCATATAGAGTTCAAAGGTGCAAAGGATGAGATTGCACACATGCACATAATTTAGCAAACACCAAATTAATTGGAAACACACACAGACTCATACAATATGAACACATGAAATTTTGCAACTTCTATTCTCCTACCACAAGCTGCATTACCCTGTTCGCTTTCATCGGGCATCTTCCACACCTTCATCTATTTGTTTCATTGGAGTACTGTTTTGATTAGCTAAAAAACAGAAACATTTCGGATATGTTTCAGAAACGCACAATGGAAACGGAGGAAAAATATGGAAACACGAGAAAACAACTGATGCCATTTATAGGAGAGAGATTTATGGAGAGAAACTTGTGATTTATAGGCTTGTTATGTAACTTCATTTCTTTCTTTGTTTCTTTTTCCTATCGGTTGGATTTCTTATCCAACTTTTTTCATGTAACTCTCATTTTTTGATCATTAATATAAGCATTTGGTTTCTTATCAAAAATAATATGAACACATGAATTGGTAGTAAGATGGTGTTATTAAAGAAACCATGCTCCACTTCCAAACTCTTATGAAAGAATAAACCCACAATGCTAACAAACCCACCAATGGGACACTGTATGATGTGGGCGAGACCAACCGTACCTCACCACAATATTCTGAATTTGGAAAGTACCTCAATGTTTAGATTTCAAAATTCCATACGAGGAGAAACATCTGGATAAAAATAAAATAAAAATGGAAAGGATATTTACCTGCTCACTATGTACACTGAAGACCAAATCCTCTCTCAGGAACTTCATGTCTTTCAGATGTTTTACATATTTTGGAAGAAAGCCTACATGACTAGAAGAATGAAGTGGACTGGTCAGACTTCCTGAAACAACAAATGCGTAACTAGTAGAAAGGATAAAAAAAAAAAAAAACTTCATATCTAGAAGAAAAGGCAATCACTTCCTACTTAAGCATAAGAGGAGCTAAAAAACATCAGAAAATTGAATAAATAGAGCAACATAAATCAGTAAGTGAAGCATATAACATCGGCATGCATTGTACTATGCAGCTGCAAACACTTTGGCAATCAGAGAAGAACATTATCATGCTTCTAGCCAAGTAAGGAAAGGGGAACTGGTGGCTTCTAGGTTAAAACTCAAAAGTATAAATGGAGGATGACAATGGAAACAAGTTTCAACAAAATGGTAAATGATATTGAACATAATAATTAACTTCAAATATTAATATAACTGCTGTTGACCATTATATTAAAAGGCAAAAAGCCAAAAAAAGAGAAAGCATAACAAAGAGGCACAAACTAATAATTGGGATGTAGATACATCTCTCTCTTTCTAGAATGCGGCACATGCTCACTCTTCAAAACAATAAATCCACAAAACAAAGAATTGAGATTCACTTACCTTTTTCCATCAGGATGAGTAATTACTATGTCCAAATCCCCACAAGAAACCTTCCCTCGTCTGAAAGATCCTCCACATATTACCACCACCTGCAGCACAAAATAACACGATAGAAGAGCAACAACATATAATCAAGGAAATCAATTCTATTAGCACAAATGGAGTGATAGGTGGCTTCTCATATTTGCATTTAACATGATAGTTACTTATGATCCTCACTAGAACTTGGCACACACAGTACATGTGTGATATCCGATGAAAATTCTAGTAATTTCTTTTCAATTTGTCCTGTTTTAATTTGAGGGGAGGAAGGAGGAGACAACTAATAAGAGATGAGACAATTAGTAGAGGAAAGAGGGGTGAGACATCACATGGAACAGGGATAGCTAACCTTAAGCAGCTTATTTAACCAACAGTTATCTATCTCTCCTTTACCTGTTGCTTATCATCTAATATGTAAATTGATACGGTGATCAAGTATGGGGACAATAAAGACCTTTTGATAGAATGTCTCTTGCTCGATAAATAGTATGGTAACCCCAGGGGAACTTTTGATTGCATCCACCCTACTCTTTTCTGTGGAGAAGTCATCAATTTCTTTTTCCTCAGGAATGGTGCGTCTTGACCACCAACTCCAACAATATTCTCATTTCAGTTCAACTACTGGTGTTACCACCACTTCCTTCCATATATATTGTTCCCATCCCACTTGACCTAAATTGCCAAATTTTTAATGAAGTAATTATAAGCATATTGTCAGCAGGGAGAAAACAGACTGCATTTTTCCCTACGAACAGGTATAGCAAAAGAAAAAGACACAACGTCAAATGGTCATAATCAAGTTATGTACTGAACTTCTAAATAGTGAAGAGCGCTCACCCCAGGCAAAACATCTTCTCCAGCTTTCAGTAGAATAAGTTCCATCTCTTCAACCTATAACATTACAATGTGCTCAAATGATTCCATGGATGACACAGTTCCAGGAAGCACTTTCAAATGATATATGGCAAAGTTGACCTCATTACGTGGAATCCTTGTTCTGATATCATCAAAATATTTCAACCCTAACCTCTGTGCATTTGTTAATGAACCCTCATTCTTCAGGTCTTCTAGAGTCCGGTGGCCTTTCTCATAAAGTTTCAGTGCAGTGGCTGGACCAATACCCCATACTTCCCCAAATAAGCTGATTGTCCGTACCTGGAAAAATTACAGTAAAGCCAGTTGCCAAGGACAGATGGATGTTGATTATAAACAATACAATTCCTCTTTTGCACAATGAGTACATACAAGTGATGGCCACATGTACACATAATCTACTTCCCGTTGACTACTTCCCCTTGATATATGTTTTTTTCCCATCTGATTCATACCAGAGTTCTACCCAAGCACATAACACAGTATAGAGCAGCCCCATCCCGTTCATAGTTATTTCGACAACATTTTAATTGAAAAAATAATGATAGGCCAAAATGAAGGTCTAGAAAAAAAATACCAGGAAAAATAAAATTATCAAGAGCATTAGAGATTTATGCCTGACAAACAATGAAAAACTAACATATTCTACCATCAAATGGCATCAACACAAGGCAAAAGATCAATAGATCAATACAGTGCAAAACTACAGTATGGAGTCAGTATTTAACAGTGACATAAAAAGCACTCAATGATACAAAAATATTGGATTGACCAAGAACTGTTGCAACACCTTTTCATCCTTCTCAAAGTGCTCCAACTTTGGTAGCTTCCCAGTAGTCACTATCTCTTGGATCTGCAATCAAACATCATCGGCATCTGTTATCTTTCCAACATAAACAGAAGGAAAATCCACCTACACATGTTTGCCCCGAAAATTCAGATTACATCCCTCATGTAAGATTTGAATTTAAAGTACTGCATAAAACCAGTTTCTCTCCTTACTCAAGAGCAAAGCATATATACCTGCTAAATTATTCATATCAGGCAGTAAAGATATCTAACTACATAGATTAGTGAAAATATGACTCACCATCTCAAGATTATAGACGTGCACAGGCAAACCCGCTACATAGAAAAATACAGACATCCTTCCAAATTCCATAAAAAGACAGAGATGCATATGCATCTGTTGGTATGCGCACGATATTTCTATGCAATCACCTTCAGTTTGGAAAAAGCTAGACCACACCTCAAAGCATAAAAAAATAAAGCACACAAATAAAGCATCTAATTGCTAATCAGAGAAGGAGCTTTCCTCCAGAAATGTGACACAGCGAAGCAACTTACAATGGCATAAAATTAAATTGTCAATGGAACTTCAAAAAATGTATGTACGATAATAGGTTCATCCACTTACATGATCCTGCATTGACTTCCCAATCGAGGGTAGGTTTTTCACCTGCTCCACACTTTCAATTTTGAAGGGCAATTTTTCAATAACCGTGATAGCCTTATAATAGCTAAAAGATCTTCGATCATCACCCAGTGCTATTCATAAAAAAGTCAATTACATGGCATCAAAACTCCAAATGGGTACACAATAGGAGTATCCAAACAAAAGCAAAGGCGCCCAATGAATACCTCTATATATGTTGATAAGCTTTCCAAATATCTCAGTGATATTCCTGTTTAAATCAGGAGGACTATATGTTGACGATGTTTCCAATGTACTGACCTGCACAGAAATGGTACAAGTATTCCATAGCAATTACACCCAAAGCATAAATGCACAAGTTAGAATTAGTATTTCCACAATATTTATAATCGTAATTTCCCTCCATCTCATACACAGAATTTAAAAAGAAGATAAAAGGAATAATCCCTATCATGACAGTGTGTCGACATCCGTGAGTGAAAGAGAGGCAGACACATGGTAGCCAAGAACTTACATGTCTTTCTCATATAAATCCACAATTGAAGAGTTTAATCTATATTACCATCTTATTTTGAGCATCAAAGGAGATTGGACTGCTACTTGTTGGGCTCAGAGAGCGATATGAATCAGAAGAGCCACTAGCAGTCTTCGGTGAACCAGATCCAGCATTATTTATTGTCACATCCCCACGTTCTGCACTTGGATTTTTAGAGTCCTCAGAAGAGGTTCTAATCTTTTTTTGCCAGGATTGTTCATCACTACTGGAGTTTTTCCTGTGAGTGGGTTTTTCCTCTAAAGACTTCTTTGGCGAATCTCCTCCTACTGACTCTGATGATACAATGTATGAGTCTTCAGATACCTTTTCACCAGATCTCAAGCTGTCCTCAAGCCACTGATAAAGCAGAACTTTCTGTGACAAGTTAGCCAATATCAATGATAAAACCTTAACGAAGTGCCTAAAACGGGCAATGAATTATATTGCAGTTCAGAAATAATCCTGATATCAGCACTACTTACTAACAGTATTTTCCCCAGTTTTAAATAGTAACACTTCAGGTCAAACCAAAGTTGGTAACGTCCAGGATAAACTTCATTAATAATATACATTTTACTAGCCTCCAGAAACACAAAACAACAACATTATGTTTCTAAGAGTTGTTTCAGTGGAAATAATTATGAAGCTGAAGAAACCCACAGACCAATGAGACTCCTGATGCTACGCATTGGGTAACAAGGGCAGTAAATTAAATCATCTCAATTCCTGCAACTAAATTAATGCCTAATATAGCCAGCCATGCAAAAAATTGGAAAAAAGGTAACACAACACCAACCCAAATTAAGATATAAGTAGCCAAAATTGAAGCTTTCCATGACAAACGGACAAGAAAATGTTCAGGAGAGAGAGCAAGATTGATGGAAAATTACTCCTTTAAAGCGTGCTAAGAGTACATGGCCAATCTTTTGAAGTAATGAAGCTGTATCCGTAGCGAAAACATGTGTGACCTTCTTGGACATTTTGTCCTCTATAGTCGCCCCCATTTGCACCAATTTCTGCTTCCAAATCTAAAGATCACCAAAAAGATCAATCAGTTCCACTATATATACATATATAGTGCATATAATCCAAGAGCAGCAAAAAGGATCACTCGGCTAAATTACATAAATATCTATAGTTCATCTACACGAGAAAAGGAAATTAAAAAAATAAAAAAAGAGTTCCAAAATTGACGGAAACCTGTAATCGACGAGTCTGGACTCCATGTTCGACCAAGAAGACAACCATTCCGGCGAAAATTCCCTGAGGATCAGACGGCGGAGGTTCATTCCTTTTCGTTGCTCTCTTTGGCGCCATTCTTTCCGGCTGGGTTGCTCTCTCTCTAGAGTTCACTATTCCACTTCTACAACAAAGCCAGAAGAGTCTGACCCCACTATAAACCGAAATGGCAATTGTAATTATATACACTCGAGTCTATCTCAACTGCTGTGTGCCCACCACAAACTATCGTCCATCAAGCAATACATATATTGACTAGCTATGTTGAAAGCCAATCATTAATTTTGTATTAAATCAAGTTTTTTATCTGTATTTTTACTTAAATTTGGGTAAGGATTTAGATATTCCAATGGGAGCGAAGGCGGTTGCAGTGGCTTTATTGTGAAGCTGAGAACAGGGAAACAATTCTCCTCCCGTAAAATCACGTCCGTTCAAAATGCTTGCTAGAGAGGGAAGAGGGTTATGGTTAAACCCCAACAATCAAAAAACCCCAAAACACAACTCTCTCTCTCTCTGCGTATCACAATTTCATTCCGAATCATCCTCGAAATTCATATCCATAATCTTTGAAGTATATTTCTGAAATTAAATCCTAAGAACAGAGGTGATGATTTTGCTCCGTTCAATTTCAGTGCTGAATGCCAGCAGATTATCATCTGCGCCTAAACTCTTCTTACCATTGAAGCATTCATCATCATCTTCTTCTTCTTCAGCTGTGTTCATAAGATTTTCTTGCCATAACCAGCCAGCTCGCAGTCGAATTAGGGCTTTCGGAACCGCCGTAGCCGCCACCACCTCCGTCGCTGATAATAAGGGGTGTGACACATTCTTTGCCGAAGAAAGCGTGTCATGGACCTCACTAGGTGTATCAGATGAGCTTTCTCGAGCTCTCTCTAATATTGGCCTCCACAGACCCTCTCTTGTTCAGGTGTCCCCTGCACCCATTTTATCCCGTTCGTGTTATGGTTCGTAGTAAATCTAAGATGTAGTCAATTTGGGAGTGATTGTTCTTTTTATGTCTATAATATTATTAGCTCCCCCAAATTTGGTGATGGACATGTAGTTGCAAATTTCATATAGAACACAATGCGGGCTTGGCGGCCTTGATTTTAGTTTATCATACTCATTGTTGGGATTTTATGTGCTAGTGAGCATGAGTTCATGTGAATTTATATTGTTCTCAAGTTATTGATGAAGGTATTGGTAAAGCATGAATAGGGCACAATGGCGAAAGAGGATTCATGTAGTCGACTTAAAAAATGTCCCAAAAAATGTTAGGACAAGGCTTTGCTAAGTTGAGTTGAATAGCATGATTACTTCATTTCAAGGATTCTCCATTTTTTTGGTGCAATCTTTCAACTTCTCACCGTATTCCCCACTGTCTCCAAGACTAAAGATAATGATTATATGATACTTATTGACATACTTTCTTTCTTTTTTTTTTTGATTCAGGCTGCTTGTATACCAAGTATACTTTCTGGGAATGATGTGGTGATTGCTGCAGAGACCGGGAGTGGCAAAACCCACGGGTATCTAGTTCCACTGTTTGACAAGCTATGCAGGACACCTGATACTTCTGTGGGTATTTCAGCTGAACAGACGTCGCATCAGCCCCATCAGCTTTCTCTTGTTCTTTGCCCTAACGTTATGTTATGTGAGCAAGTTTCACGAATGGCTAACTGTCTGTACGGTGATAATGGTGAACCACTTCTTAGGATTGCTGCTGTTTGTGGGCGGCAGGTACTAGGATTCTAATTATCCTTGTTCTGAATACATCAATTTGACATTTGTACATTGCTGGTAGGATGTGTGGTTTTGGTGCTGACAAATCTTGTGGTGCACTTTTTTATAGGTGTATGTTTATTGACCCTTTTAAATGTCATTATGTTACCATTTGACTCTCACAAATCAGAAATTTTGGCTGCAGGGCTGGCCTGTTAATGAACCGGACATACTTGTTTCAACACCAGCTGCTCTTCTGAATTACCTTTACGGAATTGACCCTGAAAAACGTCGCCGTGCTGATTTCATACGTGGTGTGAAATATGTGGTAATTTTCTTCCACTTGTAATATACATGTATTTGTGATTTATTTATTTGATTCATTTACTTTCATCAATTAGGTTTTTGATGAAGCAGACATGCTGCTTTGTGGGAGTTTTCAGAACCAATTTATCCGTCTTATAAATATGCTTCGTTTTGATGAAAAGCTGTTGTCCCGGGCACAAAATTCTGTATTTGAGAAACCAGTTGACTCAACATCTGATACCCTGATGCATTGTGAACCAGAAGATGATCAAGATCTGCAAATGGATACTATTCTAGAAGAAGATGAAGATGCTGAGGATGGTGCTGATGCTGAAAGTTTGGGTGAAGAAGCTAAAGCTGAGGTCATAAAGAGAAAAGACTGGAGGAGGGTTAGAAAAACATATGAGCGCAGTAAGCAGTACATTTTTATTGCAGCCACCCTTCCTGAGAATGGAAAGAAAACTGCTGGAGGAGTGTTGAAACGGATGTTCCCAGATGCCAGTTGGGTTAGTGGAAATTATCTGCATCGTCACAACCCAAGGTGTTGCCTTGTTCTCTTGTTAATGTCCGAGTAGTTATTCCATTATTCTAGGTTACTTGGCTAGCCAAGTGTTGTTTTGTTCTATTTCATTACTGATTTACTTGATCACGTAAAGATCCCTCTTTGTAAGTTGTATATCGGAGACGTTTGGTACATTAATTCTAGTCACAGGTTGAGGATGTTTTCAGTCACTTGCACGTTGCAGTAGAATTCACAAAATAGCCTATGGACTCTTATTGTATTGGAATTAGCGATACTTAGGTCCAGTGACATGAAGATAGAGGTTTTTATAGTTGTTTTCCATTCTCCAACTTGGTCATGGTTCTTTTTTAGCAGTTGAAGAGGAACTTATGTTGGAGAGGACACATATAAAGGAGCACAAACATATGAGTCTGTCTCATCCACTTAATAGTGAAAAAACAAATTTGCCTACTCTAGTATGCATAGCTGGAATTCCCTCGGTTTCAATGAATTTGATGGTTAAAATTTCCATATTTTCCAATTTTTGTGGCCACAAGGCTAATCTCATTGATCTGAGTGTATTGTGACATTATCCAAGTTGTTACATTCTTCTGCGTCCAAAGTTGCATTTTGCTTAGTTAATTAGTATGTCAGTTATCAGATCCTCCTTTTTGGCTTCAGATTGGAGCAGAAGTGGATTCAAGTTACGGTTGACACACAAGTGGATGCTCTCATAGATGCTTTGAACCAAGGATTTAACTCTGAAATGTTGAATTCTGGTACTCAAGTAAGTCGAACCATGGTGTTTGCTAACACCATTGAGGCAGTTGAAGCTGTTGCCAAGATCTTGGTAGGAGCTGGTATGGAATGTTTCCGTTACCATAGGGATAGCTCTCTGGAAGAGCGTATGAAGAACTTAGTAGATTTCCAGCAGAAAGGTGGTGTTTTTGTGTGCACTGACGCTGCTGCACGTGGTCTTGACATTCCAAATGTTTCACATGTGATTCAGGTACTTATCTTCTTCTGAAATCAATTGCATTCTCGCTGCATGTGTTGAATATCTAGGAGCCATTACGGGTGCAATAGTAAATGCTCTGGCTGTCATGCATGAGAATGTGCATTTGAATTTGATGGGAACCTTTACATATAACAATTTTACAGGTTGAGTCTTAACTCACCTTCCCTCCTTGCACTGTGCATTAGAAGGACCACCCTGGTTAACAGCCACATGTCAATGGTATTTGTGTCTGAATGCCCTACGTACATGGGACTATAGGTAGATGTTCGTGCATGGTTTGGTTCCTTGAATACATGGAGATTACATTAAAGAGAAGAGAAGAAAATGAGAAAAAAGCTTGCAATTTTTCATCCATCCATTTGGTTATAGAAAAGAGTGCTGAGGAAGAAGGAATTTTTTTTTGTCTTAGAATGAGTTTAAATCTATTCAGTTTTGAAGAAATAGTTTTTCTGGATGCAGCAGAATTGTTTTCTTTCATAATCCTTCTATTTCTGTTTATTTTTGGGTGGTTAAGTTATAAATCTTTCTCTTCTGCTCTCTACTGATCAAGATATCAAAGTGTAAATCTTGATTACACTTTTCATTTTTCTCTTCTAATTGGCTGCATGAGTTGTCTTTGCAAAACTAACATGTTTCGTGAAAGTCTTCATTCTTCTTTGTGGTTTAGTTATGGGCCTTTGGTTATCACATGATTTATATGCTGAGGGGACTCTGACGCTGGCAGTTTTGTGTTTCTATAGGCAGAATTTGCTTCATCTGCTGTAGATTTCTTGCATAGGGTTGGTCGGACAGCAAGAGCAGGACAACCTGGTCTTGTTACAAGCCTGTACACTGAGTCGAACAGGGATCTTGTTGTTGCAGTTCGTCAAGCTGGGAAACTGGGTCAGCCCGTGGTAATTATTGAATCTTGTAAATTTTTACACCATGAGAAGCATTCTGATGCTGCTGCTTTGTTTCAATGGACAAACTTGCACATACTTTCTTGGGCAATAACTGAAATCGATTTCTATGGCTACAGGAGAAGGCATTTAGCAGGAAGAGGAGCTTCCGAAATAAGCTTAAGAAGAGAGGTCGATTTCTATGGCTACAGGACTCGGTCAATTAGTAAAAACAACACCCAGTTTAGCAGTGATACTAAATCCATGTTGGTTACACTTTTTTTGCAGCTTCCAGCAAAGTCGGTGACGAATCATCTGTGGGAGATAGAGTTCAAGCATAATAGAAAGGAGAATTGAAGAATTTGATTGCCAACTTGGCATACAGAGACAATAGATAATGGTTAACCCTCTCCCTCAACATTGTATATGTCGTTGTACTAATTTTGATTAATAATGTTTGGATAATTTGAGATGACAGGGAATCCCCTCCCCCCCCCCCCTACAAAACCCCTCTGTTTCTCTCGCACCCACATGCTGCCACACCTACACAATGACTGCCAACGTTACAACATATAATGCTCAAACTAAGGGCGTTAATTGAATCAAATTTTGAGAATTTGAGTTCGGTGAGTTTATTTTTCTAAACGAGTCTAAAAAAATTTTCAAACTTGGCTCATTTAAAAAATTATTCATGCTAAACTTGTTTAGAACATGACAAAGTGACCAATTATCACGATATCCTCGGATTAATTTTAGTCTTTCTATATGGAGAAAATTCATAAAGTTTCGCAGATGCTGCTCAAGAGATTTTCAGCCATGACTAGATCTCAGTCCCACTAATTAGGCAAAAACAACTCAAATGTTTATTCCCCTTTAATCGAACAGGAGATATAACCCTTGCAGCAGGCCTCAAATAAGAGCCTAAACAAGACGCGACCCTTAACAAAACGCTACCACGCAACACGAGTTGGTGTTAGATTAGCCACAAAATCTCTTTTATGTGCAATTGTTTGAAATCAAGTTTGCAAGCTCCAAGTGCTGGACCTCATCTTATAAACAAGCAGCTGCTAACCACGAATTAGACGTGTCATGCCCATTTACACCTTAATAGAGAGGAGGTTCTATAGCCTAGATCCATGACATAAAGATCACAAGGCGAGTCCAAATTCTTTAAAAACAATTTTCCTCAATCATAGGTTATTCACCATGTATTAATAGAAAAATCACTTGGCACATAATTTGATCCCACTTGAGTTTATAACAGCTGATCTACTACTGAAAGAAAATAAGAAAAAATATACTGAAAGGGATCCAAATCCAAAGGAATGTATCATAGCCAAAAGCACATCACCAAAAAACATATAACATTGTCAATTCCCGTCTAAATAATTGAACACGTGCCCATATTGGTACGAGGCTGCAAGTTGCAATAAGCAACAATGGCACATGCGCTCCCAAGGGTAACACGCATTTTCCAACTCCTGCCAGAACCAGAACCTATAAGTGATCTACTATGGTTTGTATTCAATCATTCAATCGGGTGTATGGAAGCTGTCCCAGGAAGCAGGGGGGGTTTCTCTTTTCTTTCTTCTTTTGTTCTTAAATACAACACCACCACCCCAAGAAAAGAGTTGATTGAAAGAAACATCATCAATTAATCATGCAATTTACAGGGCAAAGGGAATGATGACAAACACAATGAAAGAAGATGGAAGAATTTTACAATACAATGAGTAGCAAGACTTTACAGATCATGCCATTCCACCAGCTCCAGCATTCAACATCATCACTGATAAACAGTCTGCTGCAGGACTAGCTTCATCAGGAAATTTGCTTGTTCAATCTTACAAGCTGCAAAATTTGAGTCCAAAAACGGAAAGTTCACCGCCCAAAAGCAGCTGATTATTTGTCTGCTTCTCATCAGGATTGAATTCAAGAAGTGCAAATTAACACAACTATAATCAAATGGGAAAAGGCCAATGTTGACATAACAAGGTGATGCCTCAATTCTCACCATATTAGCAAGGTTTCCTCTTGTCCACCTTTAAGTGAATGTTGTACCATTTCTTCTTCTTTGGCCGGTCTCTCGTTGTGGACTTCTTGTCTCTTACTTGGCCATCCTCTTTGGCCTCCTTGGACACACTCTTGCTCTTGCTTCTACTACTACTGCGCTTCATTAGTGGAGCAGTTGTATAAGATGCATGTATTTCATTTCTTTGCTTAAGAAGTTCATCAATCTGCAAAATTAAAAGTGCCGAAGAGTGAAGCTAGAATGTCAATTTGTTTCAGAACCCACAAATCCACTCCATATTATCACCAAGAATGAAGTTAGAAATTTCCAACCATTTAACTCACCGCTTGCATCTCTTGCGCGTATCTACTAGTCATCTCTGTAAATTGCGCTAGAACCTGTCAACACACCACACAGAAAATAAGCAAAAAAAAAAGCACTTCATACAGGTGATGTGGACAGCTTCTGTTAAAAGTTTAGAATCCAGACCTCTCTGTATTCGGATTCAAACTTAGAGAGTTCCACCCTTTTCGACAAAATATGACCTTCCACAGCTCTAAGATTCTCCTTTTCCTCTGTAAAAGGCGCAGCACAAAGAACCTCAATGGTGTAGCTTACACTTCTGAAAAAATTATCACCTGGAAAATTGTGGCAGGATATCACAAAATGCGGCAGTTAGATCCATTCTTGAGAGTAAGAAAATATGTTACGACACCTAACTGGACTGGAGATAAGTCAAAGAACCAACCATAAACAGCAAATACATGGGTGCCAGCTTTTAGTTCAGCTATTTCACATGGCTGAAACCCATCCAACTTTTTGAAGAAAGCAGTATCTGGGTCCTTTACAGTTGCCATCTGGACCCCCAGTCAACAAGAAACCAAATACAAAACAATAAACAGAAAAAAAATTGATATTCAAGGGTGACAGAAAACTTCACCAAATCATTACTCACCGAGTTCAAAGTTTGATCCAAGCGATATACAGGGAAACCAAGAAAATACATCCCAGCAGATGTAACCTTTCCTGTTTTTGCACTATCCTCCTGCAATGAAAGAAGTCAGACATACGTTGAACTGCGGCAGGGTGGTATGTGATGTGAATGGCAATATTAAAATTCATTCGAAGATGTGTAATAAGGCACAAATTAAAAGGACAATTAAGTGATTTCAAGATGTAATTAGGTAAAGCACCACAAAAAATCAATAACAACACCAACCAACTAAATTAGAAATATAAATCCATTCTGAAGATGAAAAATATATGCACACATAAAAGTAGGTTTCCTAATCCATTAGTGATCACATTAAGCAAAATTCTGGGTATCACGCTCAACGAGAGTCATCCACCGCTTTAGAATTTGTAATAAAAGCTTAGTGGTTTTTAAAATCACACTCATACTACTTCCTTCCCTTCGCTTCCATTTTTTATTCCAAAAGATTTAAATAACTCAGTCATCCAAAATTCACTAAGACCATTTACATAAATATTTCATGGAAACGACAGTAATAGTTACTAATCACCAACATCTTCAAGAATTAGAGGCATCAAGAAGATGTATAATAATGAGATTCCATCAGCTAATTTGCTGTGCCCCTAAAGCTTATCCTTGTTTGGATGGAAGTAAAACAACTAGGCTTACATTGTGCCAAGGATGATCAATAACAAACATATACTAACATTGTCTCCCTAAAAATGTCAACTACGTACTTGGATAACTGATCCCAGCTAAAAAGAAGTGAAAATCAAAATGACCTTCTAGTTGGCCACTGATGTGAGATTGCAATAGAAACATCATCTCTCCTATAGATGTCTCCAAGCTATTCAAGACCCTACTCCACATGTTATGATCATGCCAATAACCAATTGATATCCCTTCCATTATTTTAAAAGGGACCAATCACAAGCTTTATTTAGAAAGCTGGTACAAACATTTCCCAAGAGCTTCTAATGTTGGTTTTATACAACAAACCAAAAGGGTTCCACCCTTTTCTTAAATGTGTGAAATTCAGTAGGAACAAGATAGCTGCACATGTCTTCTACAACATACAGATCACATAGTACAAAGTTTTTTCTGACAAGAATAGTCCACGTTTTATCATCTGTGATTGGATTCAAGTTGATTGTTTAAAGCTCAACTCAAGGAAAAAAAATCAAGGCGGACTGTTCTGATTCCATCACTGATGGCTGTACAACAGAATGCATGAAAATAGCAAGATGAAAACAATCCTACCTGCAAGGCAAGGCTTAATCCACCGTTTTCTTCCTGATCTAAGTACAATAGCTACATAAACCCAAAGTCCAATTGTAAAATCAGTCGGAGAGTCATATAAATAAAAATCATAATTGAAAAGGCTGCACAATAATATAGTGAAATGCTTGTAGGAAGTCTGAATCAATAAGGAACGCCAGTTTTTCAAAAAAAATGTATGTCAATTCAATTAAAAGATAATCATTTAGCATGTAAAGAGAACTACACACACACATTAAATGCAGGAACTTGAAATTTGATTGTTTCAATGAAATCAGAAAGTTAGAGCTACTGATGCCATGATGCATGGATCCAGTAACCACAATACTAGTCCGATCTAAATCGAATGCAGTCCATAAATCGACAGCAAAAAGACAAATTGATCCAAGTTGTAATGTCATGCCAAAGTTTTGAGGTGCAGGAGGGATTCTTGATGAATATTGAGTTTATTGGTTGGAATTCTTATCCAACTCTTTTGATGTACTTCACAATTTTTATTAATACAAGTGTCTTGTTTCCTAAGAAAAAAAATTATTCCATACACTCATCCTATGGATCAGGTCTGTGGCTTCTCCACCCTATGGTTTAAAGAGCAAAAGTAACTCCACCAGTACTCCACGTGCATTACATGTGAAGAAACTCTACTGCACTTTGCCATCAAATTGAATTTAACAGTCGAGAATTATAACACAAATATTCACATAGTGAATTGATGATCAAACCTTTACATCACTTAACAAAAAGCTACAAGCAGTAAATAGCACAAAGCAAATGAGAAAGTTGCAAGACATAAATGGCAGAGAATAACACAAACCTTAAATTTGCTTTTCTCTGCGGATTGCACTCGGCACACAAGTCCTGCCTGTGCTTCCTTCTCTGATATTGTAACAGAATAGAAGTGAGCACATTGCTTTTCAACCTGTTAAGAAATAAAAAATATCCATATGAATTGGCCAAATTCCTTTGAATAAAAGCTGAAGCATAGGAAACGATACACACCTTTCTAAACACAGGTTGCCCCAGAGGAAGTGGACGAATGAATACCATGCCATTTAGTGCCTCCTCCAAGACAGTAGCTGACACAGTCGTTTTAATTGGCACACCAAGTTTACTGTTTGTAGGATACAATGAGGATAGAACAAAACAGAACTTATTACAATCAGTCATACATAAAATGAATCTACAAGCATAAAGGAAATTTCTTATCTCAAGACATAAATGTCCTGAGAAAGAATCCTTAAGAGCAACAGAAACATGCAGAAAGAGAAGAAGACCGAGTGACTAGTTATAACATGGTATTACCTAAAAAGTGCTGCAAACATGGTATTTACAGCTCCCAAACTTGAAAGATCCACCTCCAAATCTTGGCTTTCAGATTCAACAGCCTGAGCAAAGGGAAATGTATCACATGTGGCATCAAAACTTCATTATATCCCAGAGAAGAAAACTTGCTAAAGCCTAAGTAAAGTCAAAATCAATTTCTAACACAGGGAAGGAATAAATCTAAAAGCATCCTACCTCAAAACCAGAAGTGTCATACTGACGCCGTTTATCTGGATCAGACAAAATGTTATAGGAAAATGTGACCTCCTTAAACATATCGGCTGCTTTAGGGTCATTTGCATTCTTGTCAGGATGGTATCTAACATTGTAAAAGATTAGCTCAGTTAGCAATCTAGCTCTCAAACACAAATACAACAACAACCACAACACACCCACACAGAGATGCAGCGAGCTCCACAGCACAATGTAATGACTCACAGTTTACCATCTGCTAGCTGCCAAAACTTTTTTATTCCAGTGGAAGTAACGACCAAAACTTTAGAGACATGGAAACGGTGAGTAAGTAGAACTAACAAAGTTTACATGTATATCTCTAACATGTTATGTGTGGGTCGAAGCATGGGAAAATTGGAGGTGTTGATCAATGAGAATCAGCGCATGCTGTTGACAGTGGGGCTGGAATATTATGAGGGATTTTCCACTCAAGATGGAGATTTTTCGCTCATATCCCAATAGCAGAAAACAATCACATATCCTCCTCAATTTCTCCTTTCCTTTCCTCGTTTGTATCTTCTCATCCCTTCCCCCATACAAAACATACTAAGAGAAACAAAGGTCTGCTGCACTCTCTGTGCCATAAATTATTTTCACAATCCTATATGCTGCCCAATTCGCACTGTAACTTCACCATGACAGCATAATTCATTAGTTGTACATTTACTCGTGGAATTGAATAAATCAGTAGCTCAACAACTACACTGTGAAAAATTTAAAACAAAAGCCAAATACACCAGCAGAATTTTTCATAATTTCCACCAGCCGTCCCACTAAAATTGAAATAAAGAACAAAATTAGTTAATACTATGTTTCATATGATGTGAGGTTTTTAAATCATTGGTGCCTAAACCAAAAGAATACCAAACAGAAGATTTAGTATTTATTCCACTTTATTCACTCTTTTCAGCACCCAAACAGAGTCAAAATTCATAACAAAAATGTGGACAACATATCAAAATAAGTTTAAAATCCAAACCATATCTCAAGAATTATCCATATACCAAATCTCAACACCGATCTATACAATATTCCAATCGCCCACAAAACCAGAGCTCAGTTTAGATACATTTAAACTGTAAAAATGATTAAGTTAAAAAAAATCAAAATTAACATACTTCAAAGCCATTTTCCGATACGCGCTCTTGATTTCATGATCCGTAGAGTTCCTTGAAACCCCAAGAACGTCGTAGGGGTCTCTCCGCTGCTGCTTGGCCGCATCGCTCTTCTCTGATTTTGGCTTATGACCCGGCATTTCCACTTATAAACTCTCTCTTTTAACAAAACCCTAGAAATGGCTCACAGAGCTCAAAACTCCACATGGATCCACAAAGGCTGTCTTTTTCTAATCAACTTCGTCGAAAATTTTGAACCTTCAAAGGAAAATAAGTGAATTTCCCCGGAAAATAAGTGAATTTGCCGGGAAAATTCAGCTTCGGAGGAAAACAAAGAACTTCAGAAAACCCTAGCTATGGCACCTTCAAGCTGGAGCTTGAATTTTTCAGATAGAGAAAGCTAGAGAGAGAAAATCCAGGGGAAATTAGGTGGCATTTTGAAATTTATATGTTCAAGATTCAAATCTAATTTACTTTTGGGATAACGTGCACGGTGGGTGTATTGCGCCATGTAAGTACGGGGAACAAATAAGTGGGGTGCTACAATTGCGCCTACTGGCGCATAGTAGCACGGGGGTATGCAATGGAATTTCAAAAGCTGAACTAGATCATAGCCATGATTAATGGTTAAAACTTAAAAAAGGTAAAACATTGAAATCTCAATCAGTGTGGGTGGGGAAATTAGACCGACTAAGAAACTTTACCCAAAAACATTCATGACACATTTTTGTCTAATTATGATGGTTTTAATGAAAATATTTTCCTGCCTTTTTTCTTTTTTTAATTCTGATATCATGTCATTAGGAAAAATTTTAAAAAAAAAAAAAAAATTGGTACCGTATTGTCGATTATTATTTTTTATAAGTAAAATTACAATTTTAAAAAAAAAATTATAACTATTCAAGCGAAAGTCATAATTGGTCGCAAACACTTTATAATCGATCATGAATATCTTGATATTCATCACAATTTTTTATGATCGATCATATTCTTTAAAATTATAACTTACACTTCAAAAAAATTATAATTGTCGATTTGGTACCGCCAATAGTACCATAACGTTTCCCATGTAATTATTACAATCATTTGCCGGTTTACAATCTAATCTTTGTAGTTCAAATTTTCTTTTGGAGTAATGTATTTAGATAAAAAAAATATTGATAAATTTTGTTAATTTTCTCCATTATAACCGATGAATAAGTAGTAGATTTTAATAAATACTGAGACCTATAGTTAAATTAATAACAATAATATTGAAAATCAAAAAATATTGACAAATATTTTTTTGTTCAAGTAGCATTTCTCTTTCTCTTATACCCCGTTCAAAAGTTCAGTTTTTTTTGTTAGTCAAATTTAATTATTTTTATTTTAAGTAGTAACTCAAATGATAATAGGGACAAATTGTAAAATTACGTGTTCTAAGTTCAAATCTTAGCAACTTCTTAGAGTCGGACCATAAAGGGTTTTATCATTAATAAATATCTTAGTCTCGATATAGATAGTTTGTCTTTGACCTGATTAAAGAATAAATTTGTTCAAATATACATAAATTGATCCGACCATTCCGAATTGTTGAAAAAAAAAATTGATTATATTTTCTTCTCTCTATGATATTATGCAATGATAGTGTGTTCGAAGAAAAACAAAAAGAAGTTTTAAGGAAATAAAGTAAAAGAACACAAACAAAAGTCTTTGTACGAGTTTGGGAGACAATAAATAAAGTCATGGTCACTACTTGTCAAGAAGTTTAACAGCAAAATTTGAGCAATGCATACAATCTAGACCCCCTCTCTTTTCTTGCTTGGTACTCCCACCCAATCTATCTTCTCATCACCCCTATCAAATCTCCCCGGTCCTTGGAAAAGTGTAGAGAAAGATCAAAGATCAAAAGTGGGGGAAGGTAAAAGTCAAAAAGTAAAATCCACAACTATTTTATTTTTAATCTCGAACAAACACGATCAAAAAAGATAAAAGATTAAAATAAAGAAAAAAGTAAGAAATTAAAGACAAGATTGCGAGTTTAATATATTTTATTTCGGAACCAACATTCAAAAACACGACACGTACTTGACGAAGTGAACAAAACATGACAACAAGGCCTTTTTTTTTAGGTAGTGTTCGAAAGTGTCTATAAATGTTGCTCACAACTAACAATTATATGTTTCTCTTTTTTTTTTTTTTTTTCTATTGAAAAAAATTGGTAGAGACAAAGGAGAACACCAAAAGATCACTTCGATAGGCTCTCACTAGTGAGATAATGAGATTCCGGACTCCTCTTAGGAATAGAGTAGCGATTAAATACCAAGTCTCAATGTGAATTTCAAGATTCAAACTTTTAATTTTAAAGTAAAAAATTCGGTCGGTACTCGTTCGATGACCAGAGTCAATCGGTGGTAACAATTATATGTTTCACAGCAACCGCACATTTTCTTTAGTTTTAAGATGACCATTACCTTTCAGATTAAGCTTGGAGTTTATTCCAAGAAATGTTGTGTTTGTTCTACTTTGACATTACAGCTTGATAGGTGCAAGCCACCTCATGTGAAAAGTGAACAATCCTTTTAAGGTTTTGTTCCTTCTTTTATCTTTTTCTTTCGATAAAAAAAAAAAAAAAACCATATTCCATACTTCTACTCCATGTTAGTTATAGAGTCGTTGGGGGTGGCTGTTGTGAGCATATACTTGATTTTTGTACTTATATGTGAAGGAAAAAAATAACTGAGTTAAATCTTTTGGTCTGTATTACATTAAAGTGCCATGCAAAATGAGAAATTCACAGCTAAAGGGTAAACTTATAATTTAAACATGGATAAGTGAAAAAAAAATCTGTACCATACTGAAATTGATGTAAAGCTAGAGGTTTTGGTTTGAGTAATCATTGATTATGAGTAAAAAAGAAGACAAGTAACTTTGTATTTTATAATAAGGAGAACACTACGGTACTAAAAAAAAAATTCGATATTATGCCTCTAAATTTTGTAAGTTTAATTGGTGTTTTTTAATTTTAATGGGTCATTTAGAACAAAAAAAAAATTATAATTTTTATGTGTGTTTTTACCACTTTTGTAATACCTTGTGATGATCGATCCTAACATGACAAGGTGCCACAAAAATAGTAAAAATATCCCACAAAAATTATAAAAATACCTACAAAAGTTATACGTGGTAGTACGGTACCAATTTTTTTTTCCTGTACCAAAAACTACTGCTCATCATAAACCTAATTTAATTGAGAAATTTAAAAATCGGTATAAAAATTTGGATTTAATTGAGCTAAACTATATTAAGAAAACTTATTTTGTCTTCGGTGCATTTTTTTGAAAAAAATTAAAAGATCATTTATTACTTCATTACCCTCTCTTCTCTATTTTCTCTCTATTAATCACTCTCTCTCTATCTCTCTCTCTCTCACACACACACATACACATTGATAATTTTTTTTTCAAATATGTAAATATTTAATTTAATTTTTTCATCTTTCTCCCCTATTTTTTTCCCCCTCTCTCTCTCTCTCTATTTTCTCTCACCGTTACTCTTTCTTTCCTTATTTTCTCTCTCTTTATATCAACGTTACAATAACATAATTATATCAATTATACAATCACCCTATAATTACACCAAATAATAACACTAAACAATTACACTAAATTACAACACTAACTCAATTTGTCATTCAATTATTTATATAAACCAAAAAGTTACACCATTTTAGTATCACGACATGATTATACCAATTATATACTCTAAATTGGGTATATCATTACACAAAATAGTTTACCATTATAAATTTGGTATATATAATTGATGTAATCATGTCGTGAATTGGTATAACTTTTTAATTTATGTAAACAACTGAATAACAAATTAGGTGGTGTCATACTTTTGTGTAATTGTTTGATGTCACTGTTTGATTTATTAAAACACATAAGTAACTATTTTGTGCATTATAGGTTAATTGTAACTGATTAGTATAATTGTGTTGTTATAATATTGATATAAAGAGAGAGAGAAAAATGAGAGAGAGTAATGGTGAGAGAAAATAAGAGTGTGAGAGAGAGAAAATAGGAAAGATAGATAAAAAAATCAAATCAAATTTTTACATATTTAAAAAGAAAATAAATTATCAATGGGAGATAGAGAGAGAAAAAATAGGGGAGAGAGAGTCAAAAAAATAAAAATTATACATAATTTAAAGAAGAGTAAGTAAGTAAAAAAAATTCAAAAATCATTTAAATTTTGTACCTAATCACAAGATGTTCTATTAAAATTAAACTTAATAGAATAAAATATTTATCCATATAACTCCGTTCAAATAAATCTAGAAAAATATACCTACACTTAAAAAACCCAATCTAATTTGTGACTTGAAAGAAAGACATTTTATATCATGACCGAGTCATTTTTAAAATGAACCAAAGGCAAAAACTCAAACGTTGATAGCAATGCGGTTAATTGGCTTCTTCAAGGACCGCCTTTTTCGTTGATAGACTTTAAAGTCGTGAGTTTCAATCGCGTCGTCCTTTTTGTTGTAAGAGTGTCTCGCCATAAATAAAAAAAAAAAAAAAAAAAAATTTGACAGCAACGGATCAGCCGTCACACTAGCCGGGTCCAAATAGTGGAACTACCGTTAAGAAATTGGCTTTCGGGCCATATGGGCCGATTGCGGAATTTTTTTTGGGCCAGATCAATTAGGGCCCAAAAAATTCTTCCCCGTAACGTCATGATGGTTAATTAATGATTTGAGAGTAATTTGGCACCCCTGAAATTACATGTTTCCTAGAAATCGCCTCACATTTAATGCATATGCAAAATGTATTAAAATTTGGAATCAAATTTGGAGTCTAAATGACATATCAGTTGATTTTGACTTTTTTGATTGGTGTCATGTCATTTGGGTCTCAATAAAAACTTAAAATAATCAATTGTCATGTCATTTGAACTTTAAATTTGGTCCCAAAATTTAGTCAGTATAACATTACTCAAATGTATTTTACAAAATTTTTAGATTTATTTTGACTAATAAGAGTGTCACTGCTCTCTTAGTCCACACTCAGTCTCGTAGAGCGATATCACCACTAAAAGAAAATTTCGAGTTTTGTTGAGATACGATTTAGAATATATTGTGATCGTGCAACACAGTGAACAATCAAGAAAACATGAATACAAGATTTACGTGGTTTGGTAGGAATTCTACCCATGTCTACAAGAACGGTTTTTCCTTATGGATTAGAATTCAAAAAATTACAGTTTTAATAAATTTGATAATCAAATATCCCTGATAAACTTAGTTGATTACCCGATCTTGGTAAAACTCATTTACGAGATGTATATTAAAAATTCCCAATTTACCCATAGCCTGCTGCGAGGGTTATGCCCCGCACTCCCTAATCACATAGTAGTTATCGCACACAAAACCAAATGGATCGACACTATCTACATTAAACCTAGGGTTCCATTGACCCATTAAGTTTTAAGTCTAGTAAATATGAGTTAGTCATTATTCTCAATAGAGAAGGATATAAATTCAATTGTGAAAGAAGTAAAGGAAATGAACCGATAGAAAGAGCTCATTAAGGAAAGGAGGTTGGGGAAGCGAAACAACTGTGTTGGTTCAATTGAAAAATGGTCGATCATGCATTGTGGAGCAATTTTTCTGTTCTCTCTCTCTCTCTCTCTCTCTAATCTATCAAATTTGAATTCCTTAACAGGGACAACACTCAATTTGAAACGACGTAACATTGAGCTATGATAGGACGTGAAATAGTGAATCTAATCAGCCTCACCTATCCTCCAAAGAGAGCTCAACATGGAAACCTTTACTGTAGTGCACGTTAAACATATTCCAGATCTAGTTCACAGCAACTCCCCGATAGTAACGAGAGTTTTGATCATTTCCCCTCCGATAACTCAGGATTTCATTGTGAAATACTTTTTTTTTTTTTTAATTTAAAATAGATATATAGATAAGTCAATTTACATATCTACACAGAGAGCATTGTCTTTTAACACGGCAAAACTATCTGTAAGAGATCCTATCGCACTTACGTCGGGGCCAAAACTAAGGTTCCACTGTATGCTCTACACTCTAAAGAGTAGGTTTAGCCCTACCAAACTGTCATAACTATGAACATTCGAACCCAAATATTGAGCGAAAAAATGAGTTCTTACCAACTAGACCAATACTTGCATGAGAAGGCTTGTCCAATTTATTGCGAAGATGTAAAGCATACCAAATTTATTTGATTGATATTGATATTGAGAGAGAGAGAGAGAGTAAAATACAAGACTAGGAACTCTATAAACTTCTCATGAATAAACATCCCAGAAAAATATTTAGGTGACCAAAATAAGGAAAATAGACTTGATGAATGGTTAACAAGACTAAGACAAACATGCATAAATGGGAGGAAACACTGGCACCAGATTGCAAGTTTATTATTGGAATTAATCAGTACTTTTTCTTGCAAGAAAAAGATTATGTGGTCTTTATTCATAATACAATTCTCAAATCAGTGCTAATCCATCATATACTAGACATAACTAGTCAGGAAAACATAGAATTCCTTAAATTGTTTATTTTTTTTACTTTTAAGCTATGTTTCTCCTAATGATTCAAAAAAAAAAAAAAAAAAGCTTTGTTTCTTCTGCTTGAAGCCTTGACCCTTTTTCTCCAGCCAGAACTAAGTATACAGTCAGGTAGATCATTCTTCACTACTGTTGAATGAAGTCAACACAACCTATGTTTGTATTGTAATATCAACAATACCAAAATGACACAAAGCGCATAGTTTTAGCGACAGCCAGTGCCGGCTGCCGTGGAATAACCTTTGATTTGTGTGATTGACAGCTACCTTTAAAAAAGACCAGCCAACCACTAAAGGCCAGGAAAACAAAAAGGTCCATCAATAAGATCCCGACCAATACGTGCCAAGACCAGAACACAAATGATCATATTGCACTTCTAGATGAGCTTCTGATGGTGGATTGCAAGCTCAACCCCAACTGGAGATCCAAAGATTTACAGCTTTGCTTTGAACCGGGCGAGCGGGTCGGGGAGGGCTTGGTAATGGCAGACCTATTCTCTCTGGACCTGTCTGCATGAGTAAGGGTGAACATATGTGCATCTTGTTGAAATGGTGTATGAGCAGGTAAGGCATGCCACTGTGACATTTTGGACCCATTGACATGAACATCTTGATCAAACGGACCAAAACAAATCTGGGATTCTTGATGGATTTTGACATCAGGATCAGGAGCATAGCAGGAGGGATCATAGAACCATGCAGGTGTAGAGCCGTGGCAATTGAAAAAATGGTTATTTTTTAAAGGTTGAAGGTAATAGTTGAGACTAGCCTTCCTTGCTTGAAGCTGCAACTTTTTCTTCTTCATCCTTTCCTTCTTATGAGCATTTTGATGACCCCCCAAGGCCTGAGAGTTTGCGAATTCTTTGTAACAATATTGGCACTCGAATTTCTTATCCTCCGGCTCGCCCGGTGACCCTTTTCCTCCCTTAGGTTGTTGTTTCTGATCTCTCCCTGATGAAATTGTGGCTGATGATGAATTTACACTTTCATGGTCACCTTCCACAGAAACTTTCAGGCAGGTCTCACCATTCCTACAAGGGTCAAGCTCAAACCCAAACAGTTTAAGCTTCTTCTCAACACTAGATTTAGCTGAAATTTCATTATCTCCATACCATGTTGGAGAAATAAGATCAGAGACCACTTTTTCCATCTCTCTGATCTTCAAGTTAGAAAACAAAATTTTGTGTATGTATATAATGATGATGGCTGGTGGTGTTTTGCCTCTCGTCCTTTTATAGTAACTCAATTGGGTTTTGACAATGAATTGCATCTCCAAGCAATATGATAGTTTTATAATCATGAACAGCACTAACATACCAAAATGTCAATAAAAAAAAAGTTGAAAAACACAGAATAGTCAGAATAGGGAAGCTGTCTCATGCAATTTTGTTTTAAAAAGCTTCTCCATTACATGTAGTAGATGCACCTCAAACTTTTTTCCCACCAAAGAGGATTGATTGTGTAATTTAAAATATATAAAAACATGAAATTAGAGTACTTAAAGACAAATATGCCATTGCTTAAAGAGGTGGGGAAATGTTATCATATTGAGGTAATTGCAAAAGTCAAACAAAGATAGGGATATAATCACCTGGTAGGAAAGGGGCTCTTGCTTTCCAACAAATCTATCTACTAGTACTGTACTTAAATGCTTTGTAAACATTACTTTATTTGACTAACTAATTAGTGGATTCATGCATTGTGCTCTAACAAAGCTTATCATATTGTACACACACATACATATATATAAATATCTGTAGGTGCCCAGTCCCATCTACCACAGATCAATCCAAACCATGTTCATTCAAAGTTGAGTTCTGTAGATTTCTGATTGTTCAGCACTCAATGAAGCTTCTTGTGATTATCCTTGCAACCAAGTAAGTTTAAAAAGGGTTTATAGCACTTTTATTCCTTAAAACATACATTTTTTGTCAGTTTAGTTTTCATTGTATCAATTTGATCTTTAAAGTATTCAATCCGTGACACTTTAGTATCAAATCAAACAATCCGTCAAGTTTTTTGACGGAAATAACCATGTTTCATTTTTTTATACAGTATCATATACTCAACACGTGATCATTCCATTAAAAACTTAATGGTCTGTCTATGTAAGAGCCAAATGACACAAATTGAATAATTTATAAACCAAATTGATAAAATTAATATAATAAGGACTAAATTGACAAAAAAATACATACTTTAGGGACAAAAAATGCTATTAACCCATTAAAAAATAAGCAAAAATATATGTCTATCTTCAGCATATACAAGGGCTACTAGTTCAATATTGATTCAAATTCGATCCAATAATTTCAGAGTTACGGGTTTGAACCCGAGGGCAGTCATTTTGTGTATATAATTATGCCAAGAATTAGTTTTGTACTCAATCTATCCCTCTGGAACCTAATTAATGGAGACTAAAAGGGTTGTATTTTTTATTTTTTTTTTGTATGTCTATCTTGACTATGCATTGAAGATGCTCATAAAATATGAATGGAAGAGTAGTTGCTAAACAAAGGAATATAAGTAAGTGGGTTATGAGGTAAGCATATATACTAATAAGAGTCTTCAAAGAGATCTGGGCATATCTTCTTAAAGTGGGAAAACACTATATTTTAAACCCAAAAGAATATGTTTAAAGGTGAATCAAGTCATCAGTTAATATTATTTAATGGATAAAACAAATCATTTGTGTTGGACAGTTGTTCTAGTTGGACCCACCTTTGTTAACTTTGGGGACATGTAAGAAACTATATAGATTGTGTTGTTATTCCATTGTCTCTTACTAGATCTTCTATTGGTGGGACTTCTTCCACCAACAAATCTCCCCATTCTCATCAATTCCCACTCCTTTTTCTTTCCTTTCTGGCCTATTCTGATTGCTTTCTTGCTTTAGGAAGAAGAATTCCAAGTAGGCATGCTGTCATCAAAGCATTTCACTGTCCTATTTCTCTCTCTCTCTCTCTTTTTTTTTTAATGATACGGAGTGTTCGGATCAATTTATACGTATTTCGACTAATCTCTTCTGCGGTCCTATCAAAGGTAGGTCATCCACACCGGAACTAGAATAATTATAAGGGATAAATCTCTCGTAACTTGACCATAAGAGGTTGCTAAAATTTGAACTTAGAATGTCTTGACTTACAATTTACCTCTATAACCATTTGAGCTACCCTTTTGATTGTTTCACTGTCCTATCTAACTCCTAGAATAAACCAAATAGAGAGTCTAGTACATGAGGTTCTTAATTCGGGGAGAGTAAGATGTATGTAGTTATATATATGCATAAAAAGACTATTTTCATTATTATAACGCCATAGATGTATATATCATAATAAAATAACTTTATATATGCAATGAAGTCCATCTTTCGCACGTGGAACAAGATAGGAGAGAGTTTTATTAGATTATGGTGGCTAGGTGGGTGGGTGGGTGGGTTGCTTCATTGATTTCTTCTCATTTCATTTCATCTATTCCATTTAGAAGATAAGAGGATCAAAGGTGGCCCCCTAAATCTCCATTTCCTTTTTTTTTACTCTTCTTTATGGTAATCCTAAACCCCACCCCCACCCCCTACTTTATTTTTCTTTGTACAAATCACAAAAAAAAATTAAAATATTAAAGGGGGAGAAAATGGTTGAAAGAATTCCCAAAATTGACTCATCTTATAATAATAATATCTTTGATTAAACAACAATTTAATAGAGATCAAGCGTCATCAAGGAAGTTTGTTTAACTTATACTTAATTCGGACAAGCAACGTTTGTAGCAAAATAAAGACAACTCTGAAAGATTGGGTTAGGTGACGAAGAATCTGACCCAGTCGGGTTAATCTCCAAATATTAAAATCGATCCTAAAATGTTTACTTGATATTAAACAATCCTAATTTTTTATAATTTCATCGTATTGAATTGTAACATCATCGATATTTTACGTAGTTTACGGTACAATAGTAAAAATTATTTTTTTTTTAGTATTCTAGTAGTGCCATGATATTTGCATATTCAGCTGTGTAATTAAGGAATTTAAATAAGATTACGATACCGAAAAAGAAATTTCGATACTATACCCTTAAAATTTATTACTTTTATGGTTTTTCATACAAGTTTTGTGGTTTGTTTACAATAAATTTTTTTTAAAATTTTTGGGGTCAAGTTATAAATTTTGAGATTTTTTTATAATTTCTTTGGGCTATGTTACAACTTTCATGGTAACTTATGATCAATCCTAAAAATCATAATGCAAAATAACTGTTAAAAAAGGTTGATAATCAAATCGAGTTATTAGGACTTCCTTGTTTAATTGAGCCAAACTTGAGTTAGGCTCGGCTTGAGTTCGAAAAGCTCGACTCTTTTATACGTAAAATAGTCGAGTTATTCGGAGTTGACTCATTTTAAACTCGACTTATTTTTTAAATAAATTGAACTTGAACAAATTTTTAAAATTTTAAAAAAAAATAAACTTGATAGACTCAACTCGAACTTACAAAGTTCGAGTCAATTACCAACACTATGCTCAAAAACTCTTAAAAAAAGAACCCACAAGGAATCTATGCGAAATCACGTTTACAGCTTTGAGCCGCCGTCTTAATGCTGATGACATGTTTACTTGTTCGTCATTGTTAAGGGTAAACGAGAGGAAATGATTCTACTATCTCATAGTGGTGGAAAAAAATAATCCAAGTGAATTAATACCCCGTTGAACAAAGTGAGGCACTTACAAATTCATCTACAGGGTGAAATGTTATAATACTTTTTTTTTTTTTTCCGAAAGGTGAATTATTATGATACTTACCTTTCTTGTAATTATTATTATTTTTTGAATGATAATGGAGGAAGGCCTTGAGGGAATGGGATAAAGGGGTATAATTTTTTTTTCTTTAATAGATCAAACGGCCTGTGCGATGTATAAAATTTTTAATTTTTTTCCACCATAACTGCTGCCCCATCCCTCATCGTCACCCTACTCTTGCCTAGGGCTGTTCAAAATTCTGTCCATCCAATGGAAGAAATTTTAGTATTTTGCAAAACCGCAGGTAGAAATAAGGATTATTTATACAAATTTCGCATTCTACCCGACTCACACATTTATTTAATTTTTTTTAAAAAAAATATATATTTGGTATAAAAGACGTCATCTTATACAATAATATTATCAGATTTATTGTATTTTCTTTAGTTTTATTAGTTTATTGTGTTGGTTTACATGTTCTTATATTATATTTTAATAGCTTATTTGCAAAAGTAGCTCAAAATTTTGGTAATTTAGTTGTTAAAATAACCCAAAAATTAATAACTTAAAAAATAAAAATATATAAGATATTTCGCATTCTTACCTCACTTCCGAGTCAATTTTTTGGACGAAATTCAGCTTGAAACATTATCCTCGATTGTGTAGGGTCAGACAAGAAATAGGCATTCGACAATTCATTAACTCGAAAAATAGAATACACTATTTCCTACCCGTTAACTCGGATGAACAGACCTACTCCTGCCCACCCCCACCACACCCCGACACTAAAAGATAGTAGTTATTAAAGATAGTGAAAAAAATTCAAATGTGAGGTAATTAACAAAGATGATAGAATTGGTTACATAGGTCACATGGAAGAGTTTAATAAGAAAAAACTATTATTTATTATTTTTTTGAAGAGGGGAAGAGACTATTTATTACGAGTATTTTGTCGCTATACTAAGATATAATTCCAACCATATAGTCCAAAACAAACTACAAACAATTGGACAACTAAACATGGTTGTTCAAACAATAAAAGAAAAGGGACAGCTAAACTTTAGGGATCAATCATCAATCTCTATTTTTTGTGGACATCCAAAAAAAAAAAAACAACAAATGGGCTTAATTTAGAATCTGAACATCATCATCTAGACGTGTGAAATTCCAAAATCCTTTGATACCATGCTTTGGCTGGAATTTGGAATAAAAAAATACCCCCATTTGTTATTTTAAAACTTTTTACCTGAAGTAAATTGAATTACAAATTATTAATTAGCCCACGGTTTAATTTCCAGTTTGAAAAGGTGCCGGGCCGTCGAAGACTATCCAATGATCAATGAATTATATTCCGGCAAAATTGCGCTTGGCCAACCTTCCTCAAACCATGCTAAATTTCTTGCATCTAAAGAACAACTCAGTGCACCAGATTCTCGTCACTACAATATAAAAAAAAAACTCAAATGTAGACGAGCTTACCCCAATGCAGGGAGACATAAATGAGTTGGATTTCAACCTGAATCTAGAATGGAGATTTTTTATCTGGCAGGATGAATGTAATCAGAACCCGCTTACTTCCCCACTAAATTTAATCAACATAACATTACTGTAAGTGAACTAAATTCACTAACAACAATAGTTGAACACTTAAAAGAACTATTACACCCTTCGTCATGTACATTATTTTTCAAATTTTTTTCTTGAGATACCAAGTTTGTCCCTAAAAAAAATAAGGAAACGATAAAACAAAGACAAAAATATAAGAAAACGTTCGCCTCACAACACCAAAGGGAAGGGAGGGTTTCTGTAAGCGAATGAGAATTAACCATCCGAGATAGGGGCAGATGGAAGTGTGTAAAGGTTAAAAAAGAAAGTATGGATATTTTGTATGAATATTTGGTATAACAAAAAAATAGGTGCAAGGGTAATTATCTCTTTTCAAGAAAGTAGAGATCATGTGAATTTAACATATCTAATTTCAGAAAGTTTTTATTGTCTAAAAATAACTATAAGAGTTAATTACAAAATATTCTAACATAAAAAAGACTATTTGTTGAAATTAAAACTACCCAAAGTACAAGAAAACATTTTATAATTAACCCTTGAACATATAATGATCCAACCCTTAATGAGCCGGTCCAAAATAAAATATAATAAGACGGTGTTTCATCATCACCCTAGATGAGTCCCAATGAAAAAATAAACCCACAAACCTTGAAAATTATTAGTTCCAAATGACTACACAAAAGCCAGAACACAAGTTACATGGGTATAAGCCACAACCAAATACATGAGGTCTAGTCAAAACCTTGAACAACCATCATATTTCTGTATACCTGTCGGGTCTTGTCTATCTCCTAATGTAGGCTCACACAAAACACTTCAGTATTAGCTTATTACGAACTAAAAAACATTTTAACTAATCTTTTTAAGTCAGAAAGAATGGTTCTGAACCCAGTTTTCTAAGGGAATTATAGACTCCCAACCGCAATACAGAAGGTAACATGATAATATAAAAAGCTAATACTAATAGAAGTTGCTTACTCTCCTAGTAGCGAAGGAAAAGGGCAGGGCTTTTTTCGTTGTAATAGTAGGCGGGTCTCATGAGATCTAAGCCGGCTGTTGGAATCACAAACAAAATAGAATATATCTTACATTGAAAAAATTTATGGCATGTAACATTGATGAATCGATTTCAAGCACGACCTTCTGACACAAATTGAAAGGAAAAGTACACTTATCCATGGATATGCTGTCAACTGCGATATACTTATTATCACACTTGCCGTTTGGAACGAGGCTGAAGAGCTTGCAGAATTTTTTTTCTTGGTCCCTGCGATTTAAGCAAAATGAAACAAAAAGAAACTGGGTTCAACGTGATAATGACTATAAAACAAGAAAGTGATGACCTAGAGTTTGTTGACCATTGGAGAAGCCTAAAATTGAGTCTAAGTTAAAACACAAAATTCATGCATCTTGCATTTCTTCAGCTAACTATAAAACCTTGGCAACCTGCTGAACCTACTTGATCCAACACAACCTATTTATTAGACAGGTTATATAAGTCATCTCGTGTCACCTGAACAATAAGCAGGTTCCTGTTTGTTAGATCATGTACGGTTTCGATATTTTGCAATGATTAGTTAATTGTGTATATTTGGGTTGACCCTATCACCAAAATACATACACTTCGACACAATAATAACCCAGTTGGCCCCCTAATTGGAACCATATTCAGTGATTGAACTTTCATGCATGAGGTTAAAAATACAGATTTGGTAACCATAAGAGGGAAGATATTATACCATAGGAACTCCCATGTCCTTGAGGTCATTGTCTCCCATCTGCCTCAGTACAGTCATGTCCACCTGTCGAATAAATCAAATTCATTGGGATTCAGCTTGATCAAAAGGATAATTGTAATAGTTCTCCTTTACTGCAAATTACTGGAAACCACCAAATTTACAGCTTGTTTGAGAAAGGAAGGGGGGTGAGATTGGCATTTCCATCAGTTTTTTTCATCTCGAGTAAATTCATGAATCAAAGGCATATAATATAAATCATAAGTTGAAGCTTTAAATGAAATGTCCTTATGCAGCTTAGTACAGAACATTTAGGAAAATATGTATATGGAATACAACACAAACTAAGAACTCAAGCATGAAGCCTACCCATTGCCGGTGAGATTTAAATTCGGAATATCTAAACAATAAGATAAACCTAATCGATTATTGAGACAAGAACCAACGGCACAAGCCCATTCCCACCACGGCAGTAATTCAAAACCAGTAAAACTAGCACCCAGTGGTCTATTTTTTCACAAAAGGTAACTGTGAGTTGATGCCTTGAAGTTTATTTATGTAGTCACATAATTGTTTTATGCCTCAATATACTCCCAACTGGGATAACTGATAATATTTCTTATGAATGAGATGCAATTTCTATTACACAAATTTGTAGCCTATCAGTGAACTGAAGGATGAAACTTAATTACTTCTTCCAATCAACCCAAAATATATGACAGGAATGAAATAAGGAATCCCTTTCGTTTGTTTCTACATTATATTTCAATGTCATACCAAGCTAGGATAAGGAACCAAAATGCCATTCTTATAGGCTTTCTATGCGATTTATAGGCTTTTATGTATTTCCTTTGGGTAATTTTGCTCTTTTTTTCTCCTTTATTAGTTGGGTTTCTTATCCAACAGTTTTGATATGTTTATGAATTTTTAATACAAGAAGTTTTGTTTCCTATTAAAAAAAAAAAAGGAATGCATAGACATGTGCAGAGACATTTACATAGTGTTCGTCCAATCAATTCAAGGTGCTGAAGTAGGGAGATGGTGAAAGTGCGGTAGACACAGAAATAAATTGTGAAACTAGATGTGTTTTAACTAATAGAACCATCCAAATCCGTTCTTTATGTTACAGTGTGACAGTCCAAGCAAGAAGGTTTTAATGACAGTCCAAGCAAGAACATTTAGCATACGTTGTCTCATTGTGTCACTTTGCAACTACAAGCTGTCCCCAACTGCAGAACAAAGATTGATTCATAATGACAAACTTCATCAAATATTGAATTATTCAGCACAAGCGGAAATTATTCTAGAATTCAATAAGTACGCAGAGATATACATTTTGCAGAGGATTGTTGGACCAGCATAGAGGAAAGTTAAACATGAATTAGGTGAAAAATACAACTATAGAATCAGGTTACATAATGTTTGTGTTTACGACCCATGCAAGACTACTACTGCTCTTGGAACACAACTGGTTCAAATTCGTAGATAACCAAATCACCTGGTCTTCTGGTACATGCCCCTTACATGTAAGAGGGAGAATTCAAAGTTTAAAAATACGATTATACTATTTTACAGATCATGCTAAAAATAAAAAAAATATGCTGTGGGTATATTATAAATGACTTCTATGCTTCATTATACACAGACTTGCAACCAATCATAAAATTCAAAGAATCACAGTATACTAGATAAGAAACAAGTAAAAAGGGATTTAAGAGAAAGGTAATTACAGGTTACGATTTACATACTTCCTCTGCTTTGAAATAAATGGCATACTTTTGCAAGCCCAACGACTGCAACAAGCTATCAACAGTCAGTTTTTCATTAACCTACAAGATATTCAGCAACATGAAAAAGATTAATAGTCAGCACATGCATGTGCATAACCAACAGTTAGCATGGCAAAAATCATGCATTCAATATCTGAAAACATTAAAATAGGAAGAAGAGGATGAAAACAAAGAAAACCAAACCTCCAAGGTGAAAGAGTTAGTTGCAGTCAATCAGATAATTTCAAAATGGTAAAGTACCATCATCTCTGCTTTGCCAGAAGTTAACAAATATTCTGAAAACATGGAATGTGTGTCTTTGTATTGCAAATCATAGATATTATGAAAAGGATGGTGATCCACAACTAAGTTCATACAATCTGCGACAGAATATTCAGAACCTAGCATCTTTGATGGGCATGCAAAGGCAAAAAAGTTCTGGCCCATCAACTTGCCCAATAGCTTAGTTTACACGGCATTAATGTCCTTAGCCACCCAAACCTGATTCCAAATAGCAAGGATGAATTCCAAACAAGTTCCCAACATGCACCCAATCAACAATAATAATCCAACTCTACTGCCAGAATTCTAATGGGGATCATACCAATGGTGATCACCTTTTGATTTTTATTAATACGATCATAAAAAACATTACACAAAGCACTATGGGTGAACAAAAGATCCAACCTCAATGAAACAAAAAGAAGAAAGTGATAGAAGCATATAAAGCAAAAGGGCTAAAAGCTATCAACTTGGGCTGTCTATAAATCACAAACAGCGCTTCATTCTCCCAAAATACCAAAAAGTGGAATTCCCTCAAAATTTTAGTGATTGGGGCCCAAAGAGATGCCAAAATGAATATATACAATTCCATAAAACTTCAACTAACTCACTCCTATCTTCAAAATTCTGAGCATTTTTTTCCAACCAAAATAATACAAACTGTAGCAAGTATTACAAAATTCCAAAGTGTGATCACTTCCTAAACAACATATGTCGGATACTCATGGTAAATATCATTGAAAACCTTAGTATAACTCAAGATTATCCTTTGTATGTGGTTCAAAATGAACAATCATCAAGTATTCCCCAGTCTTAGATTTTTAAGTTTTTATCATGTAAACTTTTTTAGTAGAAAAATAAAAAACATGCATGTACAGATTTGATTAGTTTTCTAAGCAATTCCAGCTTACTAGGCCAATTCTATTCCAATACTAAAACTTAAGGCCTAAGGGTGCTTGGAGAACACGTACTACCGTTGTACTCCGACTACCTAATACAGGGGAAACCATCTCAAAGCTAATCTACAGGGTGATCATATAAGCCAAGAAACATGCCAGAGACTGAGACTTACAACTTGCCCAATACATTCTGTTCCCAATTTGAACAACTTAAATTCATAGCTGCATCTCTCTTGCAAATCTTTTCACAGCACAACCTAAAACTCAACAATCCTAATTTCACATGCTGGAGCAATCTCATAACAAGATTAACTTTCTTATGCTATTCATCACATTTGTCCTTTCTTTTACACTTCATAAGATCAATATACTCAACTCAACACAGAGCCTTATGTCAACTAGTTAGCATGGACTATATGAATCAAATTCCGTGATTCTTCTTGATGCCCTATTTTCTGTTAAATGTGACTTCAAATCATCGTACGGAAGTTACATAATTCAATGTGACAGGCGATGAATTTGATTGAAGAAAATATATGGAAGGCTATCATATGAAGTATCTATCCAAGTAATACAAAGCTGCAACTTTAACTCCAGGGGAAAACTTAAGGAAGTACAAATGTAAAAAGGAAAGTAGTGTGTACTCTATATGAACTTTTCTGTATGTTGCTGACCGGAGGAGGTGCAGCTAGCAAGGGTGGCACAGGCTTCGTATATCCAGCAGGCAGAGCTGGGCTTGTCATAAAAGATGCAGCTCGCATGGGTCTCGAGAAATCAGACACCTCTTTGCTCAAATATGCAGCTGTTCTAACATCATCATATGTTCTGCTCAATGGCTTTCTGTATAGCTCTTCCTCTCTCCTTGATGGGGAGAGACCCCTGGAAGTGCCCATTGAGAGCGCTCTAGAAGAACCTAAAACCCCATCAGGTGATCTTCGTCTTAAGCGGTCTAAAGTCCAGGGAGAATAAGAGTTTCTCATTGAGTCTATCAGAGGGAAAGCTTCTGCACTTCTCATAGAAGGAACTCGCCCCAGTAAACTACCACTGTTTAGCTCGGGCATGCGCTGTCTAACTTCCTTTGGCTCGGGCAAGTGCTGTCTGATTTCCTTGGGCTCAGGCACATGCTGTCTAGCATCCCTGGGCTCCAGAATGCGATGCTGTGTACCTAAACTGGTTGTTGAAGGTTGAGCTGGCCTTGACAACATTTGACGAAGGTCCATTCCAGTCTGCTGGTCATTGCTTTGGGTATGCCTAAGCACGTTTTTTCGCAGGATTTTGTATCGGAGGTCATCTCTACCAAGATGCATATCTTTGTAAATTTGAAGGCAATAACATTAGTATTTGAGGAGTTGGTTCAAAAATCAGAAATACAATATCACAGCAACACTATTGAGCAAATCTATTACCATCCACACCCTGTGCAGCATTTAAACTCAATTTACTACCATCTCCACGTTGTCTGCAGAAGAAGATTAAAATACATAACAAGTGTTACCGACCCATTTAACCATTCATTTGTCAACTCAAAATAGCAATTTCAGTTAAAATAATTCAGTTCTCTAGAAACACAAGCTATTAGAACAACATTGGTGAATTTCAACATATAAGCAAACATTATTGTCAATCACTATGGATCTGTTTGAATGGCCTACAAAAATTGGAAGGCCTGATTGACATAGTACATCAGAATTTCATAGCAAAGTATCTACAATCTTGTCCGAAGCCCTAAAACAAACCGTTTGCTGTTGATTTGGGTGGTCGAATCTACATTATTTCCCAATCTGTCTCTAACCGAGCGCTTACTTCCAACTGCTGGCTGCGAATCTGAAAATGAATTGTCTAATGCAGGTCCAGCCCTCTTCACCACCTGTGAGAAAACAAATGCCCACAATGTAAAAGCCACTCTACAATAGTTACATAACTCCATATTATCGAAGCACTCTAACAATCACACCCATAAAAAAAATTCAACAGAACCAATATAGAGAGTTGCAAAACCATTTGTGTTTGACTTAGAGAATCTGCATCCCTAGATAATCAATTAAGAAAACCCTAACTTTCCACGAAGAGAGGAGCAATGGACTTTGATGGCGTACCTGACCACTGCGTCCCAAAGTGATGGTAACTTGAGACCTCGAGGTCTCTGCCATTCCAGAATCAAAAGCTATAAAAACCCAAGACCACTGATCGATCAATCAATAAAATATATCTACCAAAAGAATCAATCGCATATGACAACCGTGGACAGATGATATTCGAGACAGCACCGTCTTCGCTTCAGTCGCAGAGAAGCCCTAGGCACATTATAGAAACTAGAAGATTGACTCGCTTGTGTGCAGGTCAGAGAGAGAGAGCGAGGGAAAGATTAGAGTTTCGTTCGTGTGTGTGTGTGTGTGTGTGTGTGAGAGAGAGAGAGAGAGAGAGATGAGAGAGAATCAGGGATTCGTGTATGTACAGATCTGGAATCGGAACTCCTATGCAAGACTATGTCCGGCCCAAAGTCCAAAGTTTATGTCCGGCCCAATTAGCCCCCTAAGCCCAAAGTGCAACAACCTGTAAACCCAAACTTCGAATTTAAATACACTAATGATATTGAGATATAATTTTGAGACATAATGAGTTATCACCTTGAAAGGGTTCTGATGAAAATTGCAAGATGGAAGGAGAATCTACTGAATCACGCTGGAAAAGAAGTCTTGATCAAATCTGTGGTACAAGTCATTCTCTCATATGCAATGACTATCTTTAAGTTCTCAGTTAATTTTTGTTAGAAGTTAACTACAAAAATCTCTGGATTTTGGTGGAGTAAGAACAATGGGGAAAGAGAGATACATTGGAAAAATGGGATATGTTGACAAGAAGAAAGGAGGATGGGGGGTTGGGATTTCGTGATTTGGAGAGGTTCAATGAGGCTTTGTTGGCTAAGCAAGTTGGGAGAATGATTCAAAACCCCGAAGCTTTATGCGTAAGGATCTTGAAAAAGAAGTATTTTCATAATATTTCTATTTGGGATGCCAATATAAGAACAAATAGCTCATGGATTTGGAGGAGTTTGTTGGCTAGAAGAGATGTCCTGAAAAAATGGTATAGTATGCTTATAGGAAATGGAGAGCAGACCAGAATATGGGAAGATCCTTGGGTGCCCGGTTATAAGGAAATTCCCAATGTAAAGCATAGTCAGTTGATCTGGGTGAAGGATTTGATTCTTTTCCCACAGATGAAGTGGAATCTGAATTTGGTTAAGTGTCTCTTCTCTCCTATTATTTTAGAAATCATTTTAAGTTTACCCACTAGTTTTACCTAGCAAGATGATAAGGCTAGATGGTGTGGTACTATGAATGGGTAGTATATAGTGAAGAGTGGTTATAATAGTTTGACTTCAGCTATCCTCTGTAATGAAGGACAAGCTTCTGCTTCTTCCTCTTATATGATCCCAGGGGAACAATGGAAGGTTGTTTGAAAAATTAGTGCTCTGCCAAAAATTAAATTGTTTGTGTGGAGGGCAGTGTCAAATGCCTTGGCTACTAATTGGAATCTTTGGAGAAGAAAAATTATGAAATCTCTCTTATGTCCTATCTGTGGAGAGATGGAGGAGACTATAGAGCATGTATTTTTACTTTGTTCCTGGGTTGGAGAAGTTTGGAAAGATTCTCCTCTAAAGATATTTGTTGATAGACAGAAGATAACATGGTTTGAAGAGTGGGTTTTGGAGGTGCTGAAACAGCAGGGTAAAGGTGAGGAAGGATTGTGTCATCAGACACTAGTAGTTTCACTATTGTGGGTTATATGGAAATGCAGAAATAACTGGGTATATAATCAGGTTCAGATTTTGCCCAGAGGAGTGATAAGCCAAACTATCTTTGCCGTTGAGGAATAGAGGGGTTGTGTTATGAATGAGCATGATAATGGTAAGAAGAATGAGAGTACAGTAGATGTATGAAAAGCTCCACTAAAGGGTTGGATAAAAGTTAATTGTGATGGAGCTTGGTTGCAAGATCAGAAAAGAGGGGCCTTTGGAGTAGTCTTTAGAGACGGTGAAGGAATCTTAATACAGGGAAGTGCAGGTAAGCTTGTTGCAAACTCAATCATAATAGTGGAAGCATGTGTCATTAGACAGGCTTGTTGTAGAGCAATAGATGCAGGGTATCCTTCATTAATAGTGGAGTCAGACTCAAAAGCATGTGTTGATGCTTTGAATAATGGTAATAATTGTTTGTTGAGGGAGATTGAGGTTATCCTGAGGGATATTTGGGAATACATACTTTTGATTCCTAAGATTGAAATACAATATGTGAGTAGAAAAAACAATAAGATTGTACATTGGATTGCGAAACAGAAAAGCAGGAATATGCTTTCTCCTGACTGGATGTGGTGGCCTACTGAGGTTTTGGAAAGGATGTGCGAAAAGGAAGCACGTGAGGGAGTAGGATGATTTTGGCTCGTGTGTTTTACTTTACTATAGGGTGCTTTCTTTTGATCTGTGTTTTTCTGTTAAAGTAGTCTATAATTACTTTGATTCATGTAAACTTCATTATTTTCAAATAATAGAAATATAATCTGATTGACCAAAAAAAAAGAAAAAGTTATCACCAATAAAGTGATACTGAAATGTATTTAATGATGAGTCTCATTGTAGCATTAAATGAATTCATTATCATATCATTTGTGACAACTCATTGTGTTCCAATAGCATTGCTCATTTAAATATCTTGAATTTGTATTCAAATGAATCGCAAATTCAAATGTTCTAAACTGAATCTTGACAATTCCTTAAAATCATATCACGAATGACCTTGCATAAATTATCCAAAACACCCCTAATCGTTATACTAAAAATAATAATAATAATAATAACAACTTATATTTAGGTATGATCATGCCAGAATTAATAATCAAACTAATTCCGATAATTATAGACTTAGAGTATTTTTGAATCTCATTCAAATTTAAATTTGAATTAAAACATGCTAAAAATAATGTCGAAACTAAAATCTCAAATGATTAGATTTTACATGCTTTTAAAAAATCAAAGATCATAATTCACCCTTCTCTAAATTTGAATTAGTCTTCTTTTAAATTTGAATATGTGCTTCTGTAAATTAGAATTTGTCCATCCTATCTAATGCTGCACAAGCGGTCTCCTATGTTTAGGCTTGTTAATGTGTGGTCGACGTTTGGAAGATTAAAAATTGTAGGCATACTGTCAATGAGTCGATGTCGGGTTCGTGTATTATTTAAATTATTTTATGTCAAAGCTTATTCAACACATAATCATCTAAATCATTTCATATCCTGTCTTATCTAAGTCGTGTCAAAATTTATTTAAGTCATAGTTAGACTCATGAATATTATACTCAAGACTTGGTGATATTAGTGTCGTAGTATGACATAGCATTCATGCCAAATAAGGCTGTGAAAGAACCAAACACTAACAGATTTCTTGCAAGTACGTCGTCCACAGAAAAACTAGAAATTATAAGAAAAAATTGTTTGATAAAACAGTCTACTACACTAAAGTCGCATCAAAGACCCACATTAAAAACTTCAGAGAATATTTACCAAACATGGTTAAATCCAAAGAACCGATTAAAAATGTCCAAATTGCAGGGCAACAGGCAGCTGTAGAAAAAACGAGTGACAACACTATAAAGTGAGTGACTCTTCTAAGATGGCAGCTATAGAAAAAAGTGACGAGTTGTGTATATTCGAGGCCGAGTCAAGTATAAATTGTATGAGTCGTGTTTAACAAATTTGGGTTATGTTTAACAAATTTCTTGTCAAATCCATTTTTTTAAGGATTTAATTGATTCACCCATTTATCATTCAAACTTATAAAAGTTAAACTCAAATCCCCTACTTTCGTTTCATACACCGTATCGAGTTTGCGCAATGTGGTTAGAATTGTTAGAGCTAATTGTAGAGAATGAAATAAAGGACCAACAAAGGCCCCTTCCTCCTCCAAATTTTTTCAACTAAAAAGTACACAGGTGTAACTGCTCCCTTTCGCCTTTGAGATTATCAAGGTCCCTTTTTTTTTTGTTCAACGGTTAGGGGTGTTCGGTCAATTAATGCACACCGCGATTAATCCTCCTTCCGGTCCGATAAAAATTACAGTCCCTTTTGTCTACACTGTTGTATAGGGTTGTGCCGCATCCTGAGCCCCCCCTGCTGCTTTTGCAATAAAACTCACTCAAAATACAATGTATGTAAAACAAGACACAAATGTGGGCGGCACAGTTTTATTTGTAATGTAGTGTGTAATGTAGTGTTCGATTGTGTGTGTGTGTATCTATATATATATATATATAGCGTCAGAGTGACTTCTGCATTGGGATGAGATGATCTTTGAGTCAAGAAGATAATCATACACAGCAGTTGACTCCAGAAGGAACTCTCAAGTAAACAATTTAAAGAGGTCAAATTGAGTTGTACAGTGTATTGAGGTAAGTCGAGCAACAAAATGACATTCAGAGGAAAAAAATAACATAATTTAACTCGTTAAGATTAGCTCAAATGGTAAGATTTCAGTAGTTAATATCTCGAGATTGTAAGTTTAACTCTATCAGGACATTATGTGGGTGATCGTGAGCATAAAAAACATATGTTCAAGATGATTCTCAATTGCTAAAAACACAATTGTAGCTGTACAAGTTAGATCATGACCCCAACAAGAAGGACAGAGGAATAATTTTTCGAAAAGACCAAAAAAAGAAAAAGAATGGAACAGCTAATGGTTCTGGAAATGTTGCTTTAAGGATCAGAATTTGGATTGTTTTGATAACCCAGTGTGAATTACCATTAAACAACTAATTGACTGAAGCGACACAATCATTTTTTTGTTAAGAAACTCAAGAAAATGAGGGACAACGTACCACTATGGTGGTGCCCAACAACAGATAAGCCATCATTTCAATTACTATGCAACAAATAAGTCTTAGAAACCAAGAGTAAGCAGGATCCAGAACCCAAGGCTAAAATTTGAGTTGCCACAACTGTATTATACTTCATACAATATGCTTCTGCATATGCTATCATGTGTTTACACACACACACATATATATTTATATATTTTTGGAAGGTAAAATTTCATTGAAGAGTGTTTGAACAAATTTAATGTACAGTAAATCTGCACCTGGTAGAAGAAAGAGTCGAAATTGGGATATGTGTTCGAGATCTCACAATCCGCTATGTATCCCAACACAAGTACGCATTTTTCCCCGCACAATTGTATAGGAGAGCTAAACATCCGTAATCTAACAAAAGCCTCAAATCTTAGGAGGGTGGTTTGCACTGTTGAGCACCCTAGACAAATTTCTTAAAAAGAGGGTGGAAAATTAGTGTATGAACTAGACAATTAATGAAGTGTTGAAGCTGCACACATCAGTGAAGCAGCTACTAGAAAAATGTAAACCCACAACCATGTCACTGCACAAC